TTCTGATCATTACCACCTGACTGTGAAATATGGACATCACCAGACATCATTATTCTTGAGTAACATGGGGATAGAACTCAGGAATCTGACAAACTCAGATGATCCTAATATCCTGCTAGGGTTAAAAAAAAAAGAAACACTGCAACAAGGTTTCTTAGTTTCATGACCTACAACCTTTGGGTACCCACCCTCCACTTTATTTTTGACTTACTACCTTCTGATTTTTCCAGGAAACCAGAGACATAGGCCTTAGACGCTTCTGAACTTGTTGCCAGTCTCTGCCATTATCACCTCACCATCAGCCTCAGAAGGACAGAAACTGCTAGGTTACAAAAACTCTTCAACTTCTGGAAGCAAAGCAGACTTGTGAGGTGGCACATAGTAGGTGTTCACTAAATACTGGTGGAATAAATGAATTTAGGAGGATCTCCTAGCGGGTTAGACATGTCTCCTGATGTTGGTGTGCAAAGCTTCTATGGAATCAGCTCCTCGTCGTGCTGGTGTAGACTGGTGAAGGGGATTCTTCTGACTGCTGTGTGGGATCTGCTGGATTCACTGCAGTTTACCCCAACTTCACACAAGCCCCATATCTTGGGCTATCAGGTCCCTAAATGTAAATAAATAAGCCACCAACCACAGAAGTGTTCTCTTGAGTCCATACCCCAGAGTAAGCCTCTGTCCCCTTACACTGATTTCAGCAGCAGAGAGGTTTTTCTGAGCTCTGGATATAGCCCTTGAACATATTTTAAGGGTACAATAAACTGAAAATATTCACATACAATAATCCAGATGTAAATGAGCAAGTGGATGATTCACGCAAACACGTCATTTCTATTTTGAAGAGAAAAAGAATTTAGGAATTAAAAAAATTGAACACCAGGTTGATCCCATCTGAAGAACGCTCCCAACACTTCTGGCTTCCCCCTAATGAGAAACTCAAGAGAGGCCACAACCATGGAAGCAGCAGACATTCTGGAAACCAGTGCTCTCCCAGTAAGGCAAGTGAACCCCAAGAGCTCCCCAAGAGCTGTTCCAGCTCCAGCAGCTGTCATGCTAGCAATACATTAAAACAAAAACAAAAAAAAGCAACATTCCATCCACGGTCCAACTTGAACCCCCTCCCCCAAAGGAATGCTATTCTTGGCAAGAGATCTTCCAAAGGAAACATCTGTGGATCTTCCCCGTGAGGTCACGGGAAAGCTAAGGCTGCTTTCAGGGACTAAACAGAGCAACAGATGGGAGCAATCCTAATAAGCCAGCACAAATGCCTTGGTGTCTTGACATTATCCCTGGAGTTCCAAGGCAGCTTCTCATGTGTTCTGCAAGGCTGGACAGAATCCCTCATTTACCTGGTTGCTCAACTAAACCAAAGAAGTTGACTGGAGAGAGTCCCTTAATCCCGACACAGACGGGATGTGTAATTTAGCCTCATCCAATCACTAAATATTTATGAAACACCTTTTGTAGGTTTGGGGGCAACAGCTATGAACTAGACAAAATTCCTGCTCTCAATCCCTACACCAAAATACCAATGGCATTTTTCAGAGAACTAGAACTAATAATCTGAAAATTGACATGGAACCATAAAAGATCCCAAATAGCCACGACAATCTTGAGAAAGAACAAAGTTGGAAGTATCACGTTACCTGATATCAAACTATACTACAAGTCCACAGTAATTCAAACAGCATGGTATTGGTTGTTTGTACAGCCAGTACAAACAGATACAATGATCAATGGAACAGAATAGAGAACCCAGAAATAAATCCACATCTATACACTCATTTAATACATGACAAAGAAGGCAAGAATATACAATGGGGTAAAGACAGTCTCTTCAATAAGTGGTGTTGGGAAAACTAGACACATACATGCAAAAAAGTGAAACTGGACCACCTTCTTACACCATATACAAGAACAGACTCAAAATGGATTAAAGACTTAAATGTAAGACCCCCAAATCATAAAACTTTTAGAAGAAAACAGGCAGTAAACTCTGATACTGCTACTACTAATTTCTTTTCAGATATATCTCCTCGGGCAAGGGAAACTGAAGAAAAAATAAACAAAAGGGACCACATCAAACTAAAAAGTTTTTCCACAACAAAGGAAACCATCAACAAAGTGAAAAGACAACCTACTGAATGGGAGAAGATATTCACTTTAATACATCCTTTAGATAAAGGATTAGTATCCAAAATATGTAAAGAACTCATACAACTCAACAACAAAAACAATAATCCAATTAAAAAGTGGGCAGAAGACCTGAATATATATTTCTCCAAAGAGGAAATACAGATGGCCAATAGACACATTAAAAAAGATATTCAAGGTCACTAATCATCAGAGAAATGCTAATTAAAACCACAATGAAATAACACATCACACCTGTCAGAATGGCTATCATCGATAAATCAAACAACAACAACAAACAACCTGTTGGGGAACCCTCATAGACTGTTGGTAGGATTATAAAATGGTACAGCCACTGCAGAAAAGAGTCTGGAGGTTCCTCAAAAAATTAAAAATGGATCTACCTTTTGACTCGGCAATTGCACTTCTGGTATTTATCCAAAGAAAACCAAAACAATAATTCGTAAAGACCTATGCATCCCTATGCTCAAGGCAGCACCATTCACAATAGCCAAGATATGAAAGCAACCTAACTGTTCATAAAGAATAACTGGATAAAAAGTTGTGGTTCATATATACGATGGAATATTACTCAGCCATTAAAAAAAAAACACTACCATTTGCAATGACATGGATGGACCTAGAGGTTATTATGTTGAGCAAAGTCAGTCAGACAAAGATAAATACCATATGATTTCACTTATATACGGAATCTAAGGGATAAAAAGAACAAACTAATCGAAAATAGACTCACAGATATAGAGGACAATCTGGTGACCTCCAGAAGGGAGAGGGGTTGGGGGGCTGGACGAAAGGAGTGAAGGGTTAAAGAAATATAAATTAGTAGTTGATAGATGGTCACGGGGATGGGAAGCATAGCACACGGAATGCAGTCAGCAGTAATGTGATGGCTAGGTGTAGAGCCAGAGGGAAGATAATCAGGGGATCGTTCCATAAACTATATAAATGTCTAACCAATGTATCATACACTTGAAACTAATAATAAAAAATGCTAAAAAAGAAATTCCTGCTCTCAACATATTCAAGCCTAATTCCTTGTGCCTTGTGCTCCAGAAATTCCACTTGCTAGAGCCATCTCTCTTGCAGAGAACGACCAAACTCACCAACAGATCTACAGAGGAAGCTCAATGGTGACAACTCCTGGATTATGACATCTAGAGCACATGCAACGAAATAAAAAAATAAACTGGGATGACATCAAACTTAAAGCTGTATAGCAAAAGAAAATCAAAAAAGTGAAAAGACAACATACAGAATTGGAAAAATTATTTGCAAACCACATTAAGGGGTTAATATCTATAAAGCATAAAGAACCCATACAACTCAATAGCAAAAAAACCCCACAAAAAACAAATACAATTAAAAATGGGCAAAGGACCTGAACAGATAGTTTTCCAAAGAAGATAGTCAATAGATACATGAAAAGATGCTCAACATCATTAGTCATTAGGAAAATGCAAGTCAAAACCACAATGTATAAAGACCTCATGCCCGTGAGAATGGTTATCAACAAAAAGACAAGATAAATGCTGGTGAGAATGTGGAGAAAAGGGAACACTTGTGTACTGTTATTGGGACTGTAAACTTCTACAGTCACTATGGAAAACAGTATGAAGGATCCTTAAAAATTAAAAGTAGAACTGCCATGTGATCCAGCAATTCCACTTCTGGGAATAGGTCCAATGGAAACAAAAACACTAACCTGAAAAAGCTATCGACACCCACATTCGTAGTAGCCTTAGTTATAATAGCCAAGACATGGAAACAACCTAAATGCCCACTGGCAGATGAATGGATAAAGAAGCTGTGGTATATATGTGTAGTGGAATATTATTCAGGCATTAAAAGAAGGAACCCCTACCATTTGTAACATGAACGGGCCTTGATTATACTAAGTCAGTCAAAAGACAAATACTGTATGATCTTATTTATATGTGGAATCTAAAAAACAAAACAAAAACCCAAACTCACGGAAAAAGAGATCACATTTGCAGTTATCACAGGTGGGGACAGGGAGTGTGGGAACTGAAGCGTAGTGGTTAGAAGGCACAAACTTCCAGTTATAAGATAACTAAGTACTAATGATGTAGTGTACATGATGACTACAGATAACACTGCTGCATGATCCATGAGTTATTAAGAGTAGACTCTAAAAGTTCTTATCACAAGAAATTTTTTCTTCAATCCGAGATGGATGTTATCATTTCACAATGTATGTAAGTCAAACCATTATGTTGTACATCTTAAACATATAATGTATATCAATTTTAACTCAATAAAACTGGAAAAGAAAAAATCTTTCCAGCTCTAAGATTTCTAATAGAGAAATCAAGTCCAGAGAAGGTCCCTCAATTATGGAGCTAAAATGCTATCTATTTATCCCTCCAAATCCTCTCTCATCCAGCACTCATGTGGCTACATCGACAGAGAATTTGATATGTCTGTTGACTCTCACAAGTAAAGCAGTATAAGGGGAAAGAGAGAACACCACAGGGAATGTATTGGCTGGGAAGGGAAGGAGACTCAGGTCCATGATTATTTGGTGACTCCTACAGGAAAACAAAAACTTCATTGTGCTGACCTAAACCCAAAACATTAAGAACTCAGGTTTGGCTCAATAAGCACCCACAACGTGCTAGGCACTTTTGGTATATGCTCATTTTATTCTTATTATCAACCTGTTTTTTATCTCCATGTTATGGATGAGGAGCCAAGGAGCCTGACCAATGTTGTGGATCTTATCAGAGGCACGGACTTGACTCAACTCAGGTGTTATGAATTCATGTCTACACTTATTTAGAAGTTCCTATTCCAGACTTAAGTGTTTCTCAGTCTTCAGGAAGAGGTGCCAAAGAATCCGTATTTTTATTGAGTGGCCAAAGATATGATTTTCATGGTTAGAAAAACTTGAGAAAAAAATAAAACAAAACATATAAATAAAGTTTGTACTCCCAAGACAGAATCACTTGGACTTTCTGATTAACTGTTGAAATTCTTAGGAACCAAGATGCTGTTTTAAATAAGGTTAGGCAGCATATTTAGATTTCCATACAGCTGATGTTACACTGTTCTCTTTACCTTCTACAGTCGAGAAAACTAAGACTCAGAAGTTTCAAATGGCTTGCTCAAATTTACCCAGTTATTTGGCCAAGCCAGGATCAAACCTATTGCTGGATTCTAGTTCTCCTTCTACTATCAACACATTTTGGCTGACAGTTTCACATGTGTAAGCTCTATCCCCTCTATTAGAACATTGAGCTAAGCTAAGTAGGCCCTGTGAATTTCTGTGCTTGGCACTATGCTTGGAACATTAGCACATGATCTGCTGTCATCTATCAAATAACCTTCCACAAGATGCACCCATAATTAATTCTGTGACAATCTCACTGAGTTTCTATCATTTTCACTGGGCTTTGGGATACAGAGGAATGGAAAAGGAAAGAATCTTGTAATATACTGGAAGCACAAAAAGACAATCCAACATAAAATCCACCCCTGCCTTGCCTACCTGTAGCTCTCTAGTGAGTCAATAATCAGACGACTACACTTTCCCATTTTTGGTATTAAGATCTGAGATTCAATATTATATGCTATAAAATCAGAAGGGCTTCAAATGGCCTAATTACAAGTTTCCCTCCCCACTTTGCTCTTATGCACAGTTCCTGCTTATCTCTGTTCCCTGCCAGTCCATGAACTTATTCAAACAAGCCAATCACACCCTCCCACATGAACCAGGGGGTACCCACCCTCTTGATACTACAAAGGCTGGATCCCACAGCCCCTTGTTTACTGGGTTCCTGAGTACAATTCAGGTGGGTTTGCAGGGCACGGCATCCTCCCACCCTGGGCAGTGGTTATGTAACTAATAAACTGCTGTCCGTATCATTCAAAAAAAGAAATGGCGACAATTCCTGATTCTATACCGAGATCGACGTTCCTTTCTTCCATATCCTCCCCCACTATTGTAGAAAGAAGTATTTCAGGAAACAAGTTAGGAAAAGTGAGCTGCTGCTCAAACATCTATGCTGAGTTTCTCAAACTATTGCATTACCAATGCTATACAATCTGACAGACTAAATAGAAGGGGTTTAGGTGGGGGCCACAGGAAAAATGGGCTCTGGCATTAGGCTGTGCACATGTCATTGAACAGTACTGTGTACCATGCAAATCTATTAGCTAAGCGAGAAAGAGTTATTTAGGAACTCAATTTCTAACGAAATCTAAGTCTCTACTGACTGATCTAAAATCAAGTCATAATTATAAAGATACAAAGTTCCATAGGACAGGGTCAGGAACCCTCTCTGCACTGGATTATGGGCTGTTTGGGGTCGAAGACTGTGTAAAATCACCTCCATTCCTGATTCTAACCCAGTGCTAGCCACAGAGGATCTACTCAACAGAAGTGGCTGAGCACATGCGCATCAAAGAACATTTTACTTTGTGAAGTACTGAGAATAACAGTGGGCTCAGGTCTCTGCCAAGTTCAATAAAGCTGAGGGGACTGCCTGGAAGATTAAGGCTTCCTACACAGCCGGACAAGAGGAAGATGACCAAATTCTTAGGTGTGGGCTAGAAGATTTCTGGGACTGGGTCACTTCCAACTGACTATCATTGTTGGCTACCAGTGTTGCCTCCTTGTACCCCAAAGGCCCCCCAGAGCCCGCAATGTCTGCTACAGACAAGCTCCCTATTATCCATGTGCCCTAAGCAGGTACCACATATAATGACTTTGTTCCCAAGGGCAGGTTGGTATCTGAACACTTCTGTACTTACTGATCCTTCCTAGTAGTCCTATAGCAAAAGATCATTTTAGGAGCTATAGAAGTAAAGGGAGCAACTGTTAAGAGACAACCCAGCTGGAATTCATGCCAAACCCTTCACTGTTAAGACCTCAAAGTAGAAGGAGGCTAAAAGAGGGATGGATAAATCAGCCACCCTTTCCCAATATCCAATGGGAAGAGGCGTGGATGACCACATGTTTACTACTGAGCCCAAGTTTCATCTGCACAGCAAAAAGAACTAGAGAAAGCCAAAAAACCATAATCCTGGAAGCGGGAAGCCACAGGGTACCAGAAATCCATGTAAGCAAGCAGCTGGAAGGAAGGACACTCAGTTCTTCCTGTTCCAATTATTACCTAAATTCTCATCCCTAGAAAAGACACATAGACACAAACTACCTTAAAAACTAGGTCTGTATTTCTGGTTAGGTTCCAGAGTGGCAGAACTCAGGCGTTAATAGTATATCCAACCTGGTCCCTACCTCGGCTTGCCTCCCTCCCTCCTAGAGATAACATTGTACAAAACTATATTTACAGAAAAACCAGTTAAAAATTAAGGGTGTGTACAAAAGACATGAGAGCCTGAACTATCAATACAGGGAAAGCTTCAGGGACCAGGGAGCATTGTATTCCACCGGAACCTTGGGCAACGTATTATGTACCAGGCAGGGAGAAGTGCAGCGAATCTCAGTGCCAATTTTAGGGGAAACCAGTCACTCTAGGGGAGGAGTGGATGGGAAAGAGCTGTTCCCTTAAATATTGCAGAGTGTTAATTATCTAGCCACCCTTCTTCTGCTATATAGGTTCAGAGCCAGGTAGTGGGGGGATATAAAACAGTCTCAGACAAGCCCCACAGGAAAAAGCAACTCAGAATGCATAGCGGGTCCGGATGTCCTCAAGCTTCTTGGACACCTCAGGTGGGGTTCGGTCTAGCTCTTCGGAGACATTCTTTTGTTTGTTGGGCTCCATGGAGTTGAACTGCTCACAGAGGTCTCCATCAATCACATTCTAAGGCACGGAAAAATGACAGCGAAAGAAAAAGGTTAGCTGCCCAAAGAAAATGGCACATTCTAAAGCAGTAGCTTCAAGGAAAGTTTATCTCCTACAAATACCTTAACCCCATTTACAGAACCAGGAACACTATTCAAAATTGATCCTTAGTAGCCAGAGTTCTGATCAGCAAAATTGGGTAAAACCTTTTCTCTGGCTGTGGTCTGCCCAGAGGGGACCATTTCCTCCCAGTCCTGTTTCCCTGTCAATCCACTCCCTTGACATGCTCCTTCATTCCAGATCGTTCTGATTTTTAAGGGAGTGAAAAGACTGGTTAAATGAGTTAAAGATCCCTTTTTTCGACCCAGATTTTCCAACAAAGTCCTACCTTAACAGGGAAATAATAGGAACGAAAGCTGAGGTGGTCTCGCCCACAGAGAGGGGGATGCTCAGACCGCAGGTGCATCTCCACGTGCTGGAAGAAGTCATGGTCCTGGCAGAAGTTAACAAAGAATATGTCACTAAAAGAAAAAAGTGATTCCAACTACAAGTCTATGGTTTCCAGAAACAGAATGAACAGAGGAACCCCTGATTTTACCATGTAAACAGAAGTCAAATACCTAAATCACTCCTCCGATGCCCATGGATTTTCCTGCTACAAGATAGCTAAAACCTGAAAGAAAACCTTCCTGTATTTGCAGAACGTGAGAGAATACCACACGTAAAGAGTGGTTTGTGAAGTCGGATTCCTGATCCCAGCTTCCTTGGCTGGAATGACATAAACCAAGTTTTGCCAATCTTAGAGTTGACTTTAGGAGGCAATAAGTGCCCCAGTCCTCATCAGTCCATCATTTTGTGGGGTCTGGTTCTGGGGTTTTGGCCTCTGAATAAGCCTATATCCATATCAGAATTGACCAAACCCTGGTACAGTATGAACACAAATGACTTTGCCCAGGGGGAAAAAAATGAAAAAAATGAGATTCCTATGTCCCCAGATACTTCTGTCACCTTATAAAATTTCCACAACACTCCTACTTTCAAGTGGGAATTTTGCCCTCTTAGGGAAGATTTAGCACAAAGAAACCATCGTGAGGAGCAAAATCCAGAGCAGCACAGTAGAGTTTACCTCATGAGATGTGAACGGGACAAGGATGCCAATTCCTCCTGATAAGGTGGTATAGACAAGCGATTCTGAGCCTCCAGGGATCAGCGTGGTCTTCTGTAATGACAGCACTGTCTCCCCAACATGATAGTTCATGATCACCTCTGCCTGCAAGTCAAAAACAGACCAGTAACTGTGTGGGCTCTCGGGAGCCTGTTCTAGATTCCCAAGAGCAAGCAGCACCCCCAAAGGGCAGATTTCATCATCTTTAAAATCCAAGAATAATTTAAAATGTTCTTAACATTTACTTAGAGCTTAAATACCTTATAAACATGCTGACATTAGATTATTTCTGATGAACAGTTGTTAAATTATCATTTACAATTCAAAAAAAAGGAAACCACAGAAAATGACTTAAAAAAAAAAGAAGCAAACACTAGATTTGCCCTCTGAAAGAAATCTACTTTTTAGAAGTCCAGAGATGCTCTATTATGGAAGTACAGCCCTACAGGAGAAGGGTAAGGCCCAGGACACACTTCAGAGAAGAGCTGGTTAGTACCGGTAATAAATCTGTGCAACTATCTTTTTCAAGGAACCCACTGTGCTCTGAAGAGATTTTACGCTACTAAAATATCTCAGAAAAATTTATATCCTACAGTCATAAAAATGAGGTAGTGACTTGGTCACCTTACATCAAACTTGGCATCCATCCATCACAGGATACATACTGTCAACTTAGGAACTTTCATGCATGGGAACGCCCTCAGCATAGTCATGTGGACTGCAGATAATTCATGTTTCCTCAGTGAGAGTCATGGGAAATATACAAGGGCTGGTGCCTCTCTTTTGGGGCCCCTTCTGAAACTTACCTTCTGAGAGGCCCCATTGAGCAAGCCCCGGTCCCACAGGGCTTTATTTCCTGTGGGATCCTCATCCACTTCGTCGTTGGTGTTAGGTGGGAGCCTCACCTACAACAAAGTGACACAAATCACAGGGCTGGGTCCTGCATCTACTCACCTGAATCCACAAGCAACATGCTGGCCTCAGATCCAGGCAAGCAAGCCTGGGGCACTGCCGTTGGCAAAGGCCTGAGCCCAAGTCTCCTGTACCTGTTTTAGTGTCTGAGGAGTGATAAACTCAGGAGAATCAACATAGCAAGAACAAAAACAAAGACCACAGAATATAAGCAAGAGAAGTGAGATGGGGCTTAAAAAGATAAGCTGAAATTCTAGCAAAAAGTGAACATTAAGTAACAGACAAACTAAACCTATCATTATAAAATCATGTTCCAAAAAGAAGAGGGAGGTGAAACAGATACAAAAACTAATGAGGCTTAAAGAATGCAAAATTTTCTTTTTAGAGTGAGTTTTAATAGAACCAAACTTTAGACTTATTTTTACTTTGCATATTAGAGATCATAGTTCTGAGTCCTTGGCTTTATCACAAAATGAGCCGGCTTTCCTACACATCACTGTAACCCAAGTAGACATCAACTCACCACACAAATGTTGCCAAACTTGTCTGCCCCAGCTACAGTGTCATAGTCAAGGAGGCTAGCTGTGGTGACCCATCGCGGGTAGGTGTCATCAGCAAAGATGATGAGCTGGTTCTCATTACGCTTGTAGCGAACCCAGATGAAACTTTCTTGGACGTCAGACACAATTACCCTGTGCCCAATAGTCTGGATCCCGGAGATATAATTGGCGATATGCTGGGAAAAACAAAGACAGCAAAAGGTGTAACCTTGAGGTTCAGAACCCACAGAAAGTCCAGCTTGCCCTGATCGCAACATAATAAGGTCTATAGAATGGCAGTAGTCAACAATAAATCCCTAGAGATGGGAAAACAAGCTAAATGGTTTTAATGTAGTATCACAACAAAGTGAATCACACGAATTTTCGTTTCCAGTGCATACAAGTTACATTTACATTATACTGTAGTCTATTAAATGTGTAATAACCTCATGTCTAAAAGACACTGTATATTCCTTAACTTTAAAGTAGTTTATTACTAAAAACTGCTAACCATCATCTGAGCCTTCAGTGAGTCATAATCTCTTTGCTGGTGGAGGGTCTTGTCTTGATGTTGATGTCTGCTAACTGATCAGGGTGGTGGCTGCTAAAGGCTGGGCTGGCTGTGGCAATTCTTAAAATAAGACAAGGAAGTGTGCTGCATCAGCTGACTCTTCCCTTCATGAACAATTTCTCCGTAGCATGAGATGCTATTTGATAGCACTTTACCCACAGAACTTCTTTGAAAATTGGAGTCAATCTTCTCAAAACCTGCCACTGCTTAGCAATTAAGTTTATGTACTGTTCTAAACCATTTGTTGTCATTTTGACAATCTTCACGGCAACTTCACCAGTAGATTCCATCACAAAAAAACACTTTGCTCATCTGTAAGAAGCAACTCTTCATCCATTAAAAAATTATCATGAGATTGTAGCAATTCAGTTACATCTTCAGACTCCACATCTAGATTCTAGTTATCTTACTATTTCTACATCTGCAGTTACTTTCTCCACTGAAATCTTAAAGTCATCCATAAGAGCTGTTATTGTTGATATTTTCACCTCTTCCCATGAATAACAAACGTTCTTAATGGCATCTAGAACAGTGAGTCCTTTCCAGAAGAATTTCAGTTCACTTTGCCTAGATCCATCAGAGAAATCACTATCTATGGCAGCTATAACCTTACAACATGTATTTCTTAAATAATAAGACTTGAAAGTTGAAAATACTCCTTGATCCACGGGCTGCAGAATAAAGGTTAGCAGGCATGAAAACATTAACCTTATACATCTCCATAAGGGTTCTTGGAGGACTAGGTGCACTGTCAATGAGCAATAATATTTTGAAAGAAATCTTTTTTTCTGAGTAGTAGATCTCAACAGTGGGCTTAAAATATTCAGTAAACCATGTTTGTAAACACACGTGCTATCATCCAGGCTTTTTTGTTTCAGTTATTGAGGTGGAGCAGATTTAGCATAATTCTTAAGGGCCCTAGGATTTTTGGAACGATAAACGAGTACTGCCTTCAATTTAAAGTCACCAGCTGCACTAGCCCCTAACAAGAGAGTCAGTCTGTCCTTTAAGGCAGGCGTCGACTTCTCCTCTCTAGCTAAGAAAAGCCTCGATGGCCTCTTCTTCCAATTGAAAGCTGTTTCGTCCACACTTGACAATCAATCTTGTTATAGCCACCTTCGTTAATTATCCTAGCTAGATATTCTGGATATCTTACTGCAGTTTCTACATTAGCACTTGCTGCTTCACCTTGCACTTTTGTTATAGAGATGGCTTCTTTCCTTAAACCTCATGGACCAACTTCTGGTTGTTTCACATTTTTCTTCTGCAGTTTTCTTACCTCTCACAGCCTTCACAGAATTGAAGAGTTAGGGCCTTGTTCTGGATTACGCTCTGGCTTAAGGAAATGTTGTGGATGGTTTGATCTATGCAAACCGCTAAAAACTTTCTCCATATCAGCAATAAGGTTGGTTTGCTTTCTTATCATTTTCATTGGAGTAGCACTTTTAATTTCTTTAAGAACTTTTACTTTGCATTCACAACTTGGCTGTTTGGTGTTTTGACCTAACTCTGCTTTTGAAATGCCTTCATCATTATATTAATCATTTCTAGCTTTTGATTTAAAATGAGAGACGTGTGACTCTTCATTTCATTTGAACACTTACATGGCCTTTGTAAGATTATTAATTGGCCTAATTTCAATACTGTTATCTCAGAAAACAGGGAGGCCCAAGGTGAGGGAGAGACTGGGAAAGGCCAATCCACAGAGCAGCCAGAACACAAACAACATTTATCAATTAAGTTAGCTGTCTTCTACCAGCAGCTACAGTAGTAATAACTGTCACTCTTGTAACAATTACAAGAGTAACAATAAGACCACTGATGATAGATTACCATAATATAACAATAATGAAAAAGTTTAATGTTACTATAAATTACCAAAATGTGACAGAGACACACAAAGTGAGCAAATGCTATTAGAAAAATGGCATGAATAGATTTCCTCAATAGGATTGCTACAAACCAAGTTGGAAAAAAAGTAGTATCTGCAAAGCACAATAAAACAAAGAATACCTTTAGAGGAAATATATGCCTAATTCTCATGGTTAAATTATTTATAGAAGCAAGGAGGACAGGAAATCTGCTTCTCAAGAAACCCATTTCCTCCTGCTCTTCTCGAGTCCCAAGGGCCTAATTCTGAGCCTGGAATTGGGTGATTACAACAAGATCCTACTAAAGACCTGATTTTAACATTACCCACAATCCTGCCAATGTCTCCTCCTTCCGCACTAGCTAGTTCAGGGGTCTTCTACCATTGTTATTTACCTTGTTCTCACATTTTCGGAGTAACTTCTTCTTTCCCAAGTCATAGACTCGTAGAAGCTTCCCCACACCAATCAACACCCTACCCTGGAATGGGGCAATGGCAGCAGGAACCTCTTCCACTGGAGTCTGTGAGAGGAAAAGCAGACAATGTAGCTATCAGAACATACAGCCATATGCTAACCTCACTCCTTCGACCCAGAATGCCTTCCACAGGCATATCAAGAAGACAGAGAGTGATAATCTTGTGCTCATCAGAGAAATCAACCACACATACAACAATCTCTTTGAAACAGTTACTTGGGTAAACAGGTCCCACACACTGCACTTCACTCAGTGAGTACATCAACGCCAACAAGTAAGAAGCAGCCCTGGTGCCCAATGAATACCAACTCAGAGCCCATGCTAATTTGACTGGCGCCACTAATAGTGAAGTCTTAATACATGAGAAGTAACTCTGTGGAGGAACACGAAAGGAATGCTAGTGACAAGTGACATCTTAGTTGTAAGGGAGACACAATGAATTTAGCATAGAAAGGGGGCTGTGAAATAATTATTTCCTAAATAACACCCCCTCTGAGAGGGCTGAAGGAACTACATTCATGTATTGTCAGTACAGAAAACAGGATTTTTTTTCTTAATTTTAAAATTATGGTAAAATACACACATGTAAAATTTACCATTTTAACCATTTTTAAGTATACTCAGCACATTAAGTGTATTCACATTGTTACGCAACCATCACCCATCATCCAACCCCAGAACTTTTTTCCTCTTTCCAAAGGGGAAGAACACTAATTCTTTAAACTGCTAAATTTGGATCACAAACCGCTGCCTGCTTAGTGTGACTAGTAAACAGAGGTCAGTTCAGTGTACACTGGGGTGGTCAGCACGCAGGCTTCCTGTGGGACTCACAGGCAGCAGAGCTTCACTGGAGCATGAGAGCTCCAGTAGCATTTTCCATGTGCTACCAAGAGATGGATTAGAATAAATGGGTTGGCTCCCAAAATGGTCGCCAAAAGATATATATAACCCATGACTTAAACTAAAGCGAGAGAGTCTCATAGGACAACCCAAGATCCAAAAGAACCACTGGTTGAGTCCTACCTTGTGTAAAAACTCCAGCTTTTCCCCATTGTTCACAAGCTTGTAGGTATAGACAAAGCCCCCTGCAACAGATCGGGGGTTCAGTATCAGGTCTTTGGCTACGCCCACCAGCACATACCAATCATCGCCAGTGTTGGAGAACCTGCACACAGCCACACTACACAGAGAAAGAAGTCAGGCATTAGTCACAGCCCGAAGAATTCCCATATCAGCCTTTAAAACCCTGGATGTCCTGAACTCCTTACCTAAAAGCAGCCTCATTCTGTTCCAGCTGGACAAGGTCAAGTGTGTTACCCTGAATAGGATTCATTACTCGGATCACAGAGGCCCACTGCCCATTGCCAGCCTTAGGAGCTCCAAAGATGGACTCAGGGAGGTTTTCATTGAGGAATGCTGCTGCCATCTCTGCGGCTAGCTCCCGCTCGTCCTCCCCTGCTGCTTCCACCATTTCCTAAATCCAAAAAACCAAGGAAGAGTTGGTGTGTTCAGAAGTGGGTCCTGGGTGAGCAGTAGGTAAGAAGCAAGAACACCTCTAGGGGTAGCTCATAACATAGAAAGTGGTGAAGTCCGTCGACTAAACCTAGAATTTCCCAAAATGAAAATTAAAGGGAAAGGTACATAGACATGGGAAACGGGGAAGAACAATGAAGGGAAAACCAGGTACTTCTCTGTTTACCACCAAAAAGAACTAACATCAGCTATAGTGAATAGATGACTAGTGGTTTGAGAAACATCAAAAGGAAAATACCATTTTTCTACCTAACCCATTTGATTCCCCTTGCTTAGACTACTTGTCTCCTCAATTCCAGACCAGACATAGTTTTACATGGTTGGGGCTAGGAAATGATTTCTGAAAGGAGCTAATGCTATGGATGAAAGCTGTCTCCCTTGGGCCTGAATCCAGGAAATATATTAACAGGCTGTTTTAGAAACTGAAAAACTAAAGAACAGTTCCACAGAGGGAGCTAAATACTGAATAAACCCAGGTCAGTGTATTAGTCCTAAATCAAAGAAATGCTTCTAAAACCAAAGACTTTGGCAAAAGGCTCTGCCTAAAGGACCGAAAAACAGCTTGGATCTTTAAATACAACAAAAAATAATCAACAATTACAGAGTTTTAAACTTTTCAACATGGTTTCACACAAAAGCCTTTTAACAGCCCTAGAGGGCAGTCTCATCACCTCTGCCATCTGCTGCTTCCTCTGAGCTTTTGTAGCCTCCGTGTAGGCGTTGTGGTCAGTCTCAATGATGATAAGGTTGTTACTTTCAGGATGGATGACAAATTTCCTGGGTGTGTACTGCAGTGGAAAGGCTACTTGGTTGAAGACAGCACCTAGCTTCTCCAATGCCAAAATCCTGTGTCAAAAGGAAAAGGGAGTAAACAGGTCATTCACTCAGAATCTAGAAACTGGTGGTGATGGTCCACGAGTGGTCACAGCAAACACATCAATCTCTAAATCTCTAATGTTGGTATTAGGAAACATGCAACAACAGACTTCTAATCTAGAAGATTCTGCACAAGACATAAGTATACCATGATGGGCCCTCCACGTCAGCAAAAGCTCACCACTGTTCATGACAATTCTAGTTTTTACCAGTGAAATCCACATTAGATCCTCAAAGGAATTTCCTTTTTATTACTCAAAAACCTTGAAATAAAGAGGACCAATTCCATTTTTTTTTTAGGTGAGGCAACCCTTGGTTGACCTCACAGATTGCAAGGTCCTTGTCAGCTTACAATTCCTTATTTTTTAAATATTTTTTACACTTACAGCACCTGGTCTTCCTAGGTGGTCTCCCATCCAAGTACTAACTAGGCCCGACCCTCCTTAGCTTCCGAGATCAGACAGGATCGGGCTTATTCAGGGTAGCATAGCCGTAGACCCAAATTTATTGTGAACTACTGCAATTACCTGAACATATGTGGTATTTGTGCTGATGGTGTTTCAAAAAATAAATGCCCTCCTGAACGAAAATCACCTAAGCTTTATGAAATCAAGAATCCATTGTGAACAGCAATATTTATAACCAGGATATCAACAACATGGGTGGCTTTAAAATGTTAAAAAAAAAAAAAAACTACAAAAAAAGGAAAACTTAAGAAAGTCAAACTGACTAGGTTATTTTCTAGCTTGCTTTATAGGCAGCACTCACTCCAACATTGTCAGTTTAAACTACAGTTTGTCAACTTGCAAAAGACCTAAATAATTTATATTGATGTTAAAATTTAAGATGTAACACTGCAAATGACAAGACAGAGTAAGAAAAAGTTATGTGTGATCCTGCTCTAAAACTTATCTAATTATACTGCCCTGGAAAACAGGAATCTTAAATCTCAAGAAGACTGAACTGTATTGCTATGTATTAAAACTTGGCCCTGAAGTCTAAATAGAAGCTAATAAAACTCCAAACACCGAAACTTGGCTACCAGGTGCTTAAATCCTGAGCCAAATGAAAAGTTTCAATTGCAACACACTAGCTCCATGATAGAGTTGACTCTTTGCCATCTTTTCATAATTTTTTCCAAACTCTGGCAAAAACACAGTCCAACCCCTTGGCAGAAAGGCTGCCTACTGGGCTTCAACTGTGAAACTCTTCTCACCTCAGGGTATTGGTAGAGATGGCCACAATGCCCTCAGGACACTGCTCAGAGGCGAAGCCAGATGCAAATTCCAGGGTCTCATAAGACAGAGGAGTGAGATGGAAACGAGATTGGTAAGAATAGCTCAACCATGAGCGGCTTGACATGGCCAACACCTGAGGAAAGATAAAACACCTCTGGTAAGCTTGAGAAAAACTCAAACATAGTATGCTAAAGTAAACACCCTATCCTCAAATTTCAGACTGCAGAGTATCCCAATTTATTTCAGAAACCTAAAAAGCTACCTTAAGAAAAAAAAGGCTTAGATAAAAGGCAGAGTCACTATTTGCTAAAGGTGGGGGCTACTAGCCATACAACCTAATCACTTAGATCTCTGAGCTTATTTCCATGTATGTAAAATGGGAATACTATCACAAGGCTGTATAGCGACAAGGATTAAATGCATTCACAAGTAAAGAACTAGCACAGTACCCAGAAAGAGATATTCTTAGCTATAAAGGACTTCTTTCACATTACCTCATAAACCATGATATCGATACAAGGCTGCTCATGGGTAAGTGGTCCCCTAGATGGGAGGTATCCAGCTAACTCTCAGTCTGTTCCATTTGCCCAGCCTGAGGGCTGAAGGGATCAATATTTCAACTTATCAATAACCAAATCGTGGAACAGTATTATGAAACCCCAGTTAAAAAGCTCTGAAACAAGGGACTCAAGACCTCCCATGAAAAAGAAAACAAAATAACCAAGCTAGAGCTAATGTCAATCGAATTAGATACTAGTGAATTAATGAAAGTAAAACTTGTACCAAAGGGATTTATCTCAGCTGATGCCACTAACATCCAAACATGCAACATGCTGCCTGCCCCCCTTTATTACTTACTGCCTCCTGGCCTTGCATCCGGACACGAAAGAGTTTCACAGGACGAGACCCCAAGTACCTAGTGCGGGTGTCCGATAAATCCCCAGTAACAGGGTCCAGGACAGTTCTAAGCAACACACCATTCTAATAAAAAGGAGAACAGTGGGTTAAGTCTACCCATAATGGAAGTTCCCTTGGCCACTTTATATAATTTCAGAGCAGATGGGAGGAAATGAGTTGGTTTAAAGAATATCCTGATAATCAGCCAGCCATTCATTTGTTCCCTCAATAAATCACTCAAATAGTTATCGAGCATTTACTAAGTGAAAAGCACACATTTTTCACTGTTATATCCTTAAAATTTTTTATTATGTATGCTAAATTCTTTATAATTTTAAATTTTAAGATATATGCACTGTTAAAAATAATCAGATCTCTAAAAACCATTTCCCCTAAAAATAATAAGACTCCTAAGGAAATGGCTAATTCAGGTCCAGGGCACGAATGTTCTGGATAGTCCATGAGAGGAAAAAAAAAAAAGGAAAAAAAGCCCCACAAAATCTTATTAATTTTTACACTGATTACAAACTGAAATGACATTTTAGATATAGTGGATTAAATAAAACATTAAAATTAACTTCATCTGTCCCCTTGTTTGTAGCTATGGGGAAATTTAAATTACACCCGTGGCTTGCATTATATGGACAGTCTGGTCTAAGATCTACTAACTAGTTTACAGGAAATACAAACAGAGGAACATTAAATATACAAAAGAAATGGCTCTGCTAAATCCAGAGATGGGACATTCTACAAGACAAATGGTCTGGTTTCTTAACAAGTAAAAATGAGGACAGGACAGTTACCAAAAGAAACATACACAGATCAAGCATATGCAAACTACACGCAGCTTTATGTAGATCCCGAGTAGAACCAATTGTAAAGAAATTTTTGAGGGAGAAAAAGGAAAATTGGAGCATGGACAAGACAGCAGGTATTAAGAAATTATTGTTAAATTTTATTGGGCATGATAACATTACAGCCTTAAAAAAACCCACATCAGTGAAAGCTACGTTCTCCACTATTTATAAATAAAACAATGTATCATCTTGGATTTGCTTTAAAAGACTCCAAGAAAAAGAGTGAGAAAAGATAAAATAAGAAAAGATAAAATAAGAATAGATAAAATAAGAAAGTTGAAAACTGTTAAAACTGGTGATGGGTACATGGAGCTTCATTACATTAGTTTCTCTAACTTCTGTGCATGTTTGAGAATTTCTAAATTAGGAAGTAAAATTAAAAAGCAAAAAGTACATGGGCCAGATTATTTACATGTTTGAGTAAATAATCACTGAGGAAAATGAAAATCAAAAGTATGTGGTCAAAAACCCTGACACTATCTGCTCCTTCAGTTGCTGCTTTTCACGCTATGAAGAGATCAGCTACTTTGACGACAGAGAACACTCAGGGGTCCCATATTGCTAATGGAGCCCATTATGAACTGTGAGGTATTAGTTTCAAAAACTGTATATTATGAGAACTACAGGTGACTTGAGTTCTGATCCAGAGTTGTGATGGCAAACATTTTTATCAGACTCTTTATAAAAATACTTTTTTCTAGGCCTTATTTGTTCTAAATCAAGACAAGAAAAGTGAAACGAAGCAGCACTGTTCACTAACGGTAACTGAAAACGTAGGCACAGAAAATGTCCGTATTAAACAAAGGAGTACATGAAACCTAAAGGCCTGATACCAACATTGTATGTATGCCTCTGGATTTCTTACCTGTAGCCCAATATTCAGGTATAGGAAGCCAATAGAGCCCCTCTCACCCAGCTCATCCTGCTTCTCAGTCCCACCCATTTCCACAATACACAAGGACTCCGGCTGGGCTGGGAGAGCCTGCATGCTCAGAGGTTGCAAACAGTCCTAAGGGAGAAAGAGAAAAGAATAAACCATGGAAAACGACCAATTCTGGAAAAAAACCTACCCAGAGAAATCTAATTCTAAGGGTGAAGTACCATCTTGTAATGCACAAGAAAAACCTGGAGTAAGTTCTAAACGGGTAGTGGGTTAAACTGAATCTGTAAATAAACTCTACAGAGGATCATACTTTCCTCTTTTTGTCAAAGGGGACAACATGGTAAAAGTGCATAAGCAGAGGGCACCTCCTTCTTAAAAGTTATCTAAGGCCCTAAGCAAGTCCAAGTCCTTTCTTTTAAAAACAGTCTTGGGATTTTCTTTGTTTTTAAGAGTCAAGGCTTAAGCTAAGAAAGGTTTAGTAGCCTCAGATCGGCAACTTTAAAGTGCTTGCAGAAGACTCCTAAACTGTGCTGCTACAATAGCCAGGAGCGACAAGTGTAGATTTCAGGGTCTAGCCCAGGGGATCTAAGAGACAGACATCAGGAGTGGGCCAGGTGCTCAGGCTCCAACTGGAAGATCCTTGAAGTGGAGGAAAACACTCACTGAGGGGTCCAGGGAGATGATTCTGACAGTGTTGTCTACCAGCCCCACAGCCAGGAAGCGAGACCGCTGCTCTCCAGGAGGCACATTGGCCAGACTCATGCACACCACATCTGCTGACATCTCCTTCCGCTCCGTGTACTCGTTCAGCTGTCCTGACTACAGGAGTGAAGACAGAAGAGAGGTCGCAAACCACTCGAACTCATCCCCAAAACTCTGGGCCCAGGGAAGGAAGGAGGACTGTTAAGTTCTTTTTTGCTTCCTCTCACTCTTCTTCCTATAACCAATGACCAAGAATTTCTCTACTTGAGGTCCCAAGACAGAACTCTACAGGCTAACGGCAAGCAAAATTACTGACGAGAATCAAGAGACCTTTGACAACTACAGTGCGCCACATATGTTCTAAGCCAACCGAGCTCTCAGGAAATGGAAATGTGTAACACTCTTTATCTGTTTATGAGAATACTTTGGGCAAAAGAGAATTCAAATATGGAAGTTAAAGACAAAAAAATTTCAATATAGGTATAGTTAAGACTATATAAGCTGGCCACATCTACAAGACTTTGAAAGCATAACTAATTATACTCAACATGTCTCCATATAGAAAAACAAAAGAAAACTCTGAAATGAATTCAGATCTCAGAAATTAAACCTATGGCAAATATTTGGTGGAAAAGCAAGTAATTCATTGCTAACATGGGATTTTAGAATGCCAATTAAAATTAAACATGTTACCGACCCCCTACTCCCTATAAAAGGCTAAAATGGCGTGTGAACGATTTTCCTCCCCCAATTTTCTTTCTTATGAATGTAATTTAGATACCTAGACTACAACTCCCATCTTTACCTCTGGACTCTACTAAGTCTCAGTAAATAATAAATAACATACGGGATCCATTTCAAAATAGACCAGCTCTCCTCCTGTCAGGGCAATCACTACTTGTCGCTGGTTCACTGCACATTTCACAATTGTTTTCTTTCCAGGGGTCTTCCACTCATTGACCCTCTTGTCTGCTCGTATGTGCCGAATGCCATCAGGATACACCTAGAGTAACACAAGGAAACCTGACTTTAGCAATGTGACTCATCACTCATATTCATAGCTATCAGATCTGCCTGTCACACTAGCTGAGTAAATGACAAGAGTTAATAGACCCCAGGCAAGGTCAACTTAAAGAAGGTTCGTGTCTTGCAACATCTACTTCAAAGAAGTTCAAAGTTCATTAAGGTGAACACAACAGTCTACACCTCAAAGGCAAAGAAAGGACTAAGAAAGGCCAGCAGGTAAGTAGCACTGAGAATCCTCACCTGTACCAAGGCATCATCTCCTAACAAGGAGCAGGACAAGGTTGGGGTGGTACCCAAGAACCCAGAGTCAGTCACTTCTTCCACAGTCTCTCCGATAGACAACACTAGTGTGGCATTCACGAAAGACACGATGATGTATGCATCAAATTCATCTGAAAAAGGTAAGAAAAGAAAGGAGTTGGTTAGCTAAGAACTCATTAGTTACAAAGCCGAATGAGACATACTAAGTTTTCTCTTCAGAAACCTTCCAAGGCACTTCTATGTGTAGTCATCACACACACAGTCATGTGACAAACAGCACAGGATGATCCAAAAGATAACTGAAGGTCATAAAGCCTACAGATATACTTTGCTTTCTTAAATGCCTAAATACATTGAGTAGATATGCCCGCCTCTAATACCTCTGAAAACTAATATTTTCTCAAGACATTTGCTGGAAAAATGCAAGAGGACAAAGCAAGGGAATCAGAGGCATGAAGAAATCTTGAAATACTACGATATTTATATGTGTTGAATTAAACTTATTTGTGCCAGATCCCAGGCACAAGCTAGTCTTAAAAGATATTCCTCATAATCAGGAAAGGTCCCCAAGCTTCTTCTGAATAGAGCTTATGTAGGAACACAAGATCTAATGAATAAAACAGATTACTTAAGCCTCCACGAGACTAAGTCATCCTATAGCTGGAAACTGAGAATCCTAGGATGTCCCGACAGGAATTCTATAAGAACACTAGATAACCAGGAAATAGGGAGGGGGGATTGTTTATACCGCCAGTCCTTGATTTCTCTAGTTTTTCATTATTTAAAAATACAACTATTCAGTGGTCATGAGCAATCCTAGTAGGATTTACTTTTCAGTTAATGAAATGTAGTTGGATAAACAAACACTAATGAGTTTCTCAAGGTCAGAGGACCTGAGGATATAAGCAACCTCAAGTTTCTCATGCAGATACCATAGTTAAAGGCCATCCATTTCCCATACATTCCACCCTACGACATAAAACAGCTCTGTGTATGTGTGTCCCACATCCAGCACAATGTGAGGCATAAAGTTTGGTAACTGCTGAAGAAAGGCACGTTTACTTGTTTAAGAAGTTGATTTTCCTACTTTACATTTGAATTTTCTTTATCAATTCCTCTTTCTGTCCCTCTCACCCAGAAATCGGGTAAACAAAGGACAGAATGACAGGTAGACAAGGTACTAAACTGGGAGTAGCTACCTCTTCTAAGCAGAAGCAACTGTAGAACTGTTTGCCTGAGCCTTTGTCAGAGCTCAGCGCTGTAAGGCTGATCCATCTCACTCACAATCAAGGATTCCGTTTGGGTTCTAAATGTTCCAAAGGTGGTTCAGTTGAATTAAGATTACTGGATCAGTTCAGCAGAATCAGCGTTATTTTAAAAGGGGGGGGGGAGGGGCAGTGAAGATGTACTATTGCTATAGTCTATAATAGTGTTCTGACCCATTAGCAGGACATAAAAATTTGGTGAGTTGCAATCAGCATTTTTAAACAAATATATACAGAAACCAATGTGATTTATGAAACTGCGTCACACACAGTAAGGATAAGCATTGTTTTGCAAAACTTTTGCTTCAATTAATACATGCATGTACTGACAAGGTGGCTGAAAGAATCAAAGACCTTTTCCAATCATTGTAATCTAATGGCTACACCAGGAATCCAGAATAAGAATTCAATTTCCAAATCATAAGGATTAACACTGGACAAGCAGATAGCTGGTTTTACATTATTTTGTTATATATAATTGTCATCATGTACCAAATGCTTAAGGGACACCTTATGATACGGATTTGTAAGACAACACTGTTCATATTCACAAAATATGAGTAATAACACAGTTGTCCTTGAAATGGATATCTTTGTTTTAAAATTAAATTTACTGGGGTGACACTTGTTAATAAAACAATATAGATTTCAAGTGTACAACTCTTTACTATATCATCAGTATACTGCTGAAATAGGTACCCTAAGAGCATCCAACAAAACCATAATCAGTTTCCACATAACACCAAACGTGGAAGCTTTTACACCCGCTCTCAGGTTTTGCACTGGAAATTTCTGGTGTGTAAAAACAACAGGAATTACTTAATTTTAACATTATATGACTATTGTGTCCTTTCTCACATTCTCATTACTGAAGCCTAATGCTTTCAAAGCTGTATCAGAGCAAATTAAAGCCAAACAACCAAGGGCTCTAACAACTGGCCAGGATTTCCAGTCTCTTCCTTCAGTCAGGAGGTAAAGGGGCTTGACTATCAGAAAAGAGACCATACAACTTCTCATTTACATGCAAGAGAATGAGTGGAGAGAAGAAGGAGGGCTGCCTGGGTCCTTATCTTCCCTTTGGCCCAAGGCGTCAAACCACTCAGATATAAAAATAAAGAGTTGCTCAGTGGATTTAAATAGGGCAATTCAACATGTGGTAGAGCAATGACTAATATTTGAAAGCTGTTTAACATTACAGATTCCCTCAAAATATCCATTACCATATGAAAGATACTGTAATGTTTACCCTTTCCATTTTATGGCGAGGACCTGCAGCAGATTAGTTATTCTTATGTCTTAAGGTTACAGGTTAAAAGTTGGAGTTCAGAACAAAAGCAAGCTTCAGTCAAGATAAATGGCTATGAACCATAAATACCCATGTTGCTTTTTTCCAGGGGTTGCAAGTTTCATATTAAAAAATATCAGTTCATATCTCAGTGAAGAATTTATCAGAGTATGAAAATGCATCTTTTGTATCAATTAATAAGGACTTCTATCTGTCTGAGCACTGCTGAAGCACCCCAGAGAGAATGCTTTATTCTTCTTTTCCCAGCCTTAGTATCTGAGGCTCAACAAGCAGCCCACTTCAAAGAATAAAGCCAAGTGACCATCCACTATTAAGTCCCAATATCATTTTATATTCAGAATACTCGGTGCTTGTCTTGACTCAGATTATACTGGGGAGGAGGGCAGAAGGAGGAAGGGAGTCTCCAGGGCCTGATCATATAAAAACACCTGGAACATACAAAACTCCAAGGGAGAGTATAAAGCTAAGGTTTTCCAGCTACAGGCTCTTTCAACTTAAAGACAAATCAGTAGCATGTTCCACATTCTGTGGGAGAAAATGAGAGAGGCTGATTCCTGCCACTGACCATTTAATATACAAACAGATATGTGTGCACTATTACAATGCACGTGGATATCCAATTGCAAAGTTACCCTCTGAGAGATGCCATCAGGGCAGCCTCAACATTTTGTGTAGGTCCCTCTACCTGGGTAAACTCTAAGACCTCATGGTAGACCCTAGCAGTAGGTACACACCTGTGGTGATCAGCACCTTCACCAGCCACCTGTGGAAGAGAAAAAAAGGCTTGGTATTGGTAGTGTGCATCACCAAGTACCAGCCAAGGTTAGTAATTGCCTGAAAGACTGCAGCATGTGTGGACATGTGGGATGTTCACCCAATAGTAACTTGGGGTATCTAAGTTACTATAAGAATGAACAGAGAAAACCTGACCTGTTTTCATAAGTGATAGCCCAAAACAGAGTTTCTAAAGAGTAAAATTTATGGAGATATAGTCTTCTCTCAGATTTTGGTATTAAGAGCAGAACATTTTTCTGCTACAAGTTCCATCACTAACTGCTTATCACTAACTTACCAAACACTGTCCCCAAAAAGCCTTCCCTGATCCTCAAAAGTATGTCCTCTCCTCTAACCCCATCTTTGGCTACATGCTTGTGCCTTTTATTATTATCAGAACACAAAAGAATTTGGTATGCTTGTCTTCTTCAGATGGCAAGTGCTCTAAAAGTAAGGACCTATCTTAATTACTGAGTACACAGTGGACACTCAAAAGACTGCAGGATGAAAGTACAGAACTTATCCTACACCAAATCAGAAAGAACCACAGACTCCCACTGCAGGGTTAGTCAAATGAGCACTGAACTGAGATTCAGGAGACAAGGTTTTCGATCTCCATTACCTTAGTGAGCTATTTTGGGAGACTCAACCTGTGATTTCCCACTTTCTTCATAAAAATGAGGGTAACTTTTCTGTACATCTAAATCTATTTTAAAACAAAGCTTAAGAAGTTAAACAAACAAGGAGGGGAGCACACCAAGTTTTACCTCAAAAGATCTTCCTAATTAAATAGTCTAGGCAATGTTTTCAAGAACCATGTCAATGAGACACCAAGCACTGACCAGTTTATGAAATTACATGCAATGGGGAAATCTTTCAAAACCATTTATCTAATAATTATTTCTCAACTAAAATAAGCCTACTGATTTCCTATTCACTTTCCTTTCTTCTCAACTCAGACTTGATTCCAGTGCCTACATGGAAACAAAATCCACCAACATGTATATTCTGCTAACAGAGGTCTCCCTCTTACACATTTCCCAGCTCCCTTAAATTTGTTCCTCACAATCAGAACATCTAAATATCAGGAAGAATTCCAGCTGTTTTCTTGGAAAAGCTTTGTATGCTGGCCAGCATGATCTTACTCACCAGTCCTACATTCCTGAGGGAACAAGAGGAAAATGAGGTCTAGGAATAGAAATGACCTCTGGCCCCAGAGTAAGTCAAAGGGAAAATAAAAACTGATTTTTATTTCTAAGGGACTGAATGAAATTCAACTGTCACAAGACTTTCCTGGCATTGCGCTACTATGCATTTTCACATAGCTTTCAAACTTTTAGGAAGGAGTGATCATTTTTATCGAGGAGTTCAGACTTCCTTCTCTTTCCTCCACCCCTTCTTTTCCACTCGCTCAAAAATTCCAATTCCATTCAATCAATCCCTGCTTTTCTTAAAAACAACTACACCCATCGAGCAGGACTAATTAACAAGCTTTACCAAATTTCTTAATACCTAGAATAACACCATCAATTTCATTGTTATCAGCACAACAGGTAAGAACATGGTTGAAGAAAAATTAAGCAAAAACTTTCCTTCATACCATATCTCTTACACAGATGGAACCAGTGTCTTAAAGATAAATACAAAGACCATCGCACAAAACAGCTCCATGATATCCAAGTGTGTATGTACCAAATATTAATAGTCACCCTATGCATCCCTCATCCATGTGTACAAATAGTATGTGAAAACATCCTGATTGGGAAAGCCTCGAAAACATGGTATTAGGCCAGGAAAAATTTCTAGTATACAGTGCTAGATGTGATATAGAAATATTATGAATGCAGTCTCTTAAGCCTTATACTGTCAATGGCACCCAGACTCTCATTTTGAGGGTTGGAAAGGGCCGCTTACCTTCAATGTGCCGGCGCACTGTCCAGACAGCATTGGGGTTACCGGGTAGTTCAGAGACAGCCATTTCTGACACCTGACAGAAGAGATAAACCACATATCCAGTGAGCATGGATCTCAGCTCCCTGCTTACAACTACACTAGATAATAAGGTCCCAAAGGCAGTGCTCACAATGTATGCTGGATTTTAAAAAATGTAACCATTAAATACAAAGAGAATCTTAAAATCAGCAAAAGTAGTTAGTTACCTACAAGGGAGCACTTATAAGACTGGCTGGCAGCTGATTTCCCAAAAGAAACCATGCAGGACAAAAGGGCTTGGCACAAAATATTTGACATAATGAAAACCCAAGATCTACAACCAAGAATATTTCATTTAGCAAAGCTATCATTTAGAGTTGAAGGACAGATAGTTTCCCAGACAAAAATAAGCTAAAGGAATTTATCATCACCAAGTCAGTATTACAGAGAATGTTGGAGGGACTTCTTTAAGAAAAAACATGTATCAAAAATAGGAATAAACAAAGATAATAACTGCATTCCGATCAACAAGTACCTAAATAGAAAAGAATTAAGTGCTCTAACCAAAATATAGAGTGGCTGAATGGATAAGAAAAAAAGACCCCTACATATGCTGCTCACAAGAGACTCACTTTAGATGAAAAGACACACATAGACTAAAAGGAAGGGGATGGAAAGATACTGCCTTCATGGACCTAGAAGGTATTGCGCTGAATGAAATGAGTCAGAGAGAGACAAATATCCCATGATTTCACGTACATGTGGAATCTAAAGAACAAAATCAACAATAACAAAAGCGGAAATAAACTCATAGATACAGAGAATATTTAAAGGGATACTAGATGGGAGAGTAGTTGGGGGGGAGACAAAGAGGTTAAGAGGTACAAATGGATAGATGCAGAATAGACATGGAGATACAGAGTGTAGCATGGGGAAGATGGTTAATAATGTTATAATAAATATGGAAGGGGGAAGAGGAGTACTAAATTTAGTGGGGTGATCACTTTGCGAGTTACATGGATCTCTGAACACTATGCTATACAACTAACTGAAACTGGTATATTATTGTACGCCAACTATAAGCGGAAAAAAAACAAAAAAACCTCGTTGAATTGTACAAGGTAAATAAAGTAACTAGTTGTCTATCATATTTCAATAAAGGCAAGGGAAGAAAAGCCGGGGAAATGTCCAGGGGAGACCTAAGGAAGGAGTAAGAGGTTATGGAAGGGGGTGGGAGGGACTGTCAGAACAGCTGTTCCTGTGGGCCACAGCAGAAGCTCCCCCATGTGACATGGACTTTGGGAGTGAAAAGAGAACAAGAGCAGTGTAGAAACTATACAGTGTGGTTATTCAATAGACAGGTCATGCCTGGAAGAGTCTTCCTTCATTCCCTTCATAGTTCTTTCAAATGCAGCAACTATAGAAGTAAAACTCTATTTTCTCCATAAATACATAAATTTTAATATTTTCAGTTGAGAAACAGTTGAATTATGATACTATGCCTAAAAGGCTGTTCACCATGGTCTTAAATTTAGCCTACTGCCTGAAATACTCAAAATTTTTAAAAAGTGCATTGCCATAGAAAATTATAGACCCAATTAGACAAGACACTACGAAATAAATCTGAGGAGCTTCTCCCAATGGGTAAATTCAGAAGAGTCAACTGTATGTAATAATTATAGACATGCTGTTTTTTTAAAATGGACTAAAAACAGTGTACAAGAGGCGAGAGTTGTGCCACTTGGGTAACAGAGAAAATGAATAAAGGAAAACAAGTTTTCTTCAGTAAAAAAAAAAGAGAGAAAAAAAAAAGGTAACCATCTAGTCAAAGAACATTAAGAACCAAAAAGCCTGGAGATATTGACAATACCCATGACAGACTTTTAGCAAGAAATGATGAAACATCTGGGAGGGTAGTTGTTATAGCCAAAGCTATATGCTTCCTTTGGTCATGACATGCCTGCATCATCCACAAAAACAGGACACATAGAAATGAATCAGGCCATCTGAGCTGGCATTTCATAAGAGCGAGCTTCCCTTATCCTCTTGGCTGGCAGTTATCTCTTCCACCTATAAATTCTCACAAAAGCCACAATCACCATCTCTTAGGGCACTTTTCTAAAAAGTGATTTGAAGACCTGTCCTTCCTACTAGATTTTCATGCTCCTTAAGGTCAGAGTAAAGAGTCCTATGAATGTCCTATAGGTTCTCAGAGTAAATGAAATATCTAACGTGAATTCAAAATGATCTAGAAAGAGAAACTAAAGAGTTATACATGAACTCTCTATACTACCTTTGCAATTTTACTATAAATCCAAAAACATTCCAAACTAAAAATTTTATTATTAAATGTTTTTAAATGACCTAGAGACAACATATTAGCTTATTATATTATACCGTGTAACTACATTATGTAGGAAGAACTCATGTATATTCATCAAAGGCATTATCCTTTTCTTAATTTACGAATAGCAGAAATACCTGATCATGGTACAGGAGAATCCTGGAAAAATTATCAACAAAATGTAAATGTCAGGCATGCTATACTCTATACCAAAAGTAATACCTGACAGTGACCCTGTTCAACTGAGACTGTAATTTAGCATACAATATGGTTCAAATACACGTATAGAAACAAAAGCAATGTTTAACAATTTTAAAATATTTTTATATATAACGAAGATTTCTTTTTTTATATAGAATAGGAAAAAAGTGGTAGGGGCAGGGGACTCAAAATGATTCTTAATTGGGTCCTTTATTTCACACTTTACACAAAACTTTCTGTTAATACATATATGCATTTTGGAGGCATGCTGGCTTCCATCATATGGAATCCAATAGAATCCAATGAATAACACAAGTAACTAAGCAAGAACTATTGGTCTAAATTGGGTTTGGGTCATTGAGAAGTTAGTGGATTGGTGAATATTTTGACAGTCAAAAATCTATCGAATTCCTTTATAGCAATATTAATAGCTAACATTTATTGAACAATTATTATATGCCAGAACATAGGCATTAAATAATTCACACATCAATCCTTTAAGGTAGATGCCATTATTAAGCCCATTTTACAGAAGAGGAAACAAAAGCTTAATAACAGCTATTAAGTGGTTACAGCCAAAACTGAGGTTATCTTGGCTGTGTTCCAATAAAAATCTACAGAAACAGATAACTGTCTCTGAAAAGTCTATATATAGTCTGCAAACTCCGACCTCTGAAAGCAGATTGTCATAGATTTTACTAACAAAATCAATTCCAGGGCATTTGCCAAAAGGAATCAACACTAGAACCAAGATGAGATGTGGGATTTGAGAAGATAATTTTGAATGTCTGTATTACCTAAAAGATCCAACAATAAAGGATTCATTACATAAATTCTGATCCATCCACCTGGATGGAGAAGTGCAGAATCATTAAAAATGATATGACTTAAGAGCACACAGCAATAAATTCAGATATAAAAAGAAATAGTATTAACATAGTAAAAAATGTTAAGTTTCTGAAATCCCTGAATAAAGACCAAGACTAAAAGGAAATGGAGTAAAATGTTCCATGCAGATTTCCTAACCTCCATGTTATGGCTAGAGTAAGCCTGGTACTAGGAAAGATGTTTTTTCCCTTTTATCCCCATTTGCCAATTTTTGAAATGTGCCTGTTGTGCTAACATGTTAAGGAATAGAATATTTAAACTCCAAACTTTATGGAAATAGAGAAAACATTTTTCTTTCATAGAAACATTAAGTTTATCTTAGATCTCATCAGAGTAAAGCCGTAGGATGCTTCATCGATGTTTCCCTCCAACCCCTGCAGATGATCTTACCTCAAGTCCATGCCTTAAGACTCTCAGAGATGATCGGGGTCCTCTACCACAGGCCACATACAGCTGTGGAGTGTCTTCATTTGCCAGATCAGCTATCTGTAGAGAAAAAAATGCCTACTTGTGCTAAGTTTTCACAATGATCCCTAATTATTCTCAGGGAACAAACTACTCTTCAGTTTACTAAGCTTATATATTGGCTATTGGCCCTGGCAGCATGAAAGAAAAGGCCCAATGTTCCAAAAAGCAAATCAGTTGGAAGATGGGTTTTACCAACACACGAAAGGCTTGTTATCAGCTAAGTTAGCAAAGAACTTTTTTAGTAAAGTATTATGTAACCTCCAACTGAAATTACCATTTCCTTCCAAATAAAAACTAAAACTTATCAGTATCTGTGACTGTCACCAATATAATCATTTATTCATATAAATGTTTATAGATATTGCCAATTATCATTTCCCTTGTCATTACTTTAAAACTTGTATTTGTTAGGACTGCACACAATCACAGCTGCCCTATCTACAGATGCTCCTATGAAGTAGCTGACCAACTCATGGGTAACTGCATCTGGTTGTTTAGCCACCAAATGGAGAAGTCAAGTGTTTCATACTGGCATCCCAGACATCTAGTTGTTGGTTTCCAGTACAATTATTTGTTGATCAAAATATGAAAAGGTTAGTCATTTGTATTGTAGTTTTGTCAAATTGGACAATTCTAATGAAAACTCTCGACCGTAAGGCAGTGCATCCTACTTTAATATGAATTAGCACGTGGGTTTTGAGTATATATAGCCTTCACACTGATCTCTTTAAAAAAGATTAGCTCACCTATTTTAAATGCACCATCTTATTTAAAGCCTTAATAAAGCACATATATTACTTTTTCACAACTTAAATGATGTTTTGCTATCTTGGCTATCAAGTTTATTACTACACACATTTAAAAAATTGTTCAGAGAGGGAATCCAGATGCTTCACCAAGCTTTTAGAGATCCATGGCACAAAAAATGCTTATAGACCTGCTACATGTTAACTTCCTGTTTTTATTCTTTACCTACAAACTACTTCAACATTCCCTCAAATTCCAATGAAAGGAAAGAAAAATCAAACTAGGAAATAATACTTATTTTCTATTGCCCTCAGAACTAATCCTTTGTCAAAAAGAGCAGTTAATTTCAGAATGATTCATTTTACCAGAAGTGCCTGAATGTTGACTTGTTTCTCCTGCACGCAGAGAGCAAAACTCTCTCCCACTAGAAGTGCAATTGACTAGACAGGGTAGGGTGATCCCTAATGGTCACTCGACTCACAGCAATCCAGGACCAAGAGGTATGGTAAAATTCCTGCTACAATTAAGCACCTTAGTAGGGGATGCAATTCCCATCTCACGCCACCTCCGGTTCCTCCCTGAGGATGTGACTGAAAAGTTCCTGCTACTGACTGATGCCAGTGTCTCTGGAGCATTTTAAGGAGGAACTGAGTGTTAAAATAAGATAAACATAGGTATTGACCATTAAGTGAGAAAGGGTCAATGTTGGAATACTATGAAGTATATGAACCTGTTTATATTAAATGTAACACACATTTGTGGGGAGAGATGTGAGTCTCTCTGCTTTTGTATGCAAAGAAAATACCTAGAAGCAATCATGACAAGCTTTTAATAGTAACAGCCTCACTGGAGTGAGGAGTTGAAAAAATTGGGGATAAGGCTTTTAACTTTTTGTACAGTTTGAATTTTACACTGAACATGAGTTTTATAATTTTTTTAAAAAGCTGAAGGATTTAGGTAATGGTTTTTAGTTCCCGAAATTCTAAAGCTGCTTCACCTTTACAACTCTGGCGATTCCACAGACATGCTGACGAATCTAACTCTTGGACTAGAATTTAATTTAACTGGAGTTAAAATTTTAAACTCATTCAGATTCAAAACAATTGGCTGGCACTGCTCATTATGGAGATGACTGGAAAGACCCACACCTGGCAAAACAAAATAGGAGAGAGACTGTCCAACTCATCGACCAACACAAGGTTTTTGAGTGGTCTTGGTTGAAAGAAGAATGTGTCTCCTTCTTCTAGAGGCATGGCAGATGAAAACTCAGGTTCTTCGTCATCATCTCCGAGATGTGCAATCTGATATAAATAACTGGGGGGAGAAACAAAGACTTTAATTAAAAACATGTTCTGTCTGAAGATAACGTTTGACAACATTAATACTCATATTAATATCTAATCAATATCACAACATGCACTGAGTCATGCACTGTTTGAAATCTCTGCATATCTGAGTGGGATTTTCTCTTTTTTTAAGAATAGAAAAGAGATGAAAAAATTAAAGCCACTGAATTCAAACAGGTACAATGGAAGAGCCTTGGCAACACAGTGATTAAAAGCACTGGGCTTCCACTAGTGCCTGGGTTTGAATCCCAGCTCTGCCCCTTATCTTGCCACATAACTTTAGGCTTACTAATCTCTGTACCTCACTTGCCTCATTTATAAAACTGAAATAACAGTACCTTCCTACAGAATTCTATGAGTACTTACAACAGTGCATGGCCCCAAATAAACATGTTTTTCAAATAAAATTAATAAAATCCAAAGGCAATCTATAACCATTTCCTATTTTAAACACACACCAGGCCAAATTTAATAAAAAACAAGAGTTGGTGGTGACCTCGCAAAAGTATGCAGATATTACAGTATTGTTCCTCAAACAAAACATAAACATATCCAGAGATAAGTAACAAAGTCATCTTGCCTTTCTCTGATCTGTCCTCTGGCTAATGCTTAGTTAACTGATTCAAAGGAACACCATAAAAAAAGGAAAGCAGTTTGAGAGTCAATGACTTGTAACAATATATCATCATAAACTGAATGTGCAATGAGCTTTAGAAAAACAGCTCATTTAAAACAAAACACCAACTACTGTTTATTCTTTAAATAATATACCAGACCTTCAATACAGAGCATTTTAAACAATATCCAGTGTAGCTTTTTAGAAGGAGAATGACTAGATCAGTGTCTGAAATACATTAAGGTACTCAATAACTATTAGCCAAACAAACCTCATGGCATTTAACACTTTTGGTAAACACATCAGAGTATATGCTAAATTATGAAAAAGCAAATAAGGTTATTACAAAAGCATTAAAACAGGACACATATACAAAAAAACTAATATAAACTCCTTATTCAGGCAAGATGTCTACATGCAGGTGATAAAGACCACCTGTCAAAGACACCAGCAGTGTCTACTAACTGAAAAATGCGAGGCTATCTCCATCACAGTAAAAGCTGCTTTGACTGAATCTTGGTAAAACTTTCTGAGACTGTAGTGTTTTGCCTAAGAGCAGAGGTTGAGGAACCAGGCTGTCAGAGTTTGAGTTAGATTTAGTGTAATCAAATTTCTTAAATTCTGTGACCCAGATCCCTAAACTATAAATGGGATAATGGCACTGTCTCATAGGGAACGGCATGAGTTAATATTTGTAAAGTGTTTAAAACAGTACTTGGAACTTAGCATATAATAAATTAGTGTTTGATAAATAGGTCGTTATAAGGATTAAATGAACTAACACCACAGTGCATTTCTAATTCCCCAATTCACCACTCAAAAGTCTTCCCAATTTCAGCTTCAGCAACAATAATTTCTCACAAGAATGAATCCATCTCACTCTGACAGAATCCCATCTGTACGTACACTGTAGTCTTTCTATTCTCTGCCCTAAGAACTTCTATCCCATGGGTGGTTGCCTGAGCCACAGGATAAGCAGGGGAGCTCATGCCCCCAGGGGTAACTTTCAACCCAGGAGAGAGCAGCTGGTGTTGTTGACCTTCAGATGAGCAATTCTGAGATGCACTCTGCTTGCTTCATGCTCAGGTCTTCATGGAAGTGAGTTCCCACTGACCATAGAAGGAACCTCAATAACACATCCTTATACTGGATTTCCTTTTTCCTTTTTCTCTTTAGATTTATACAAGTGTTTGTGGAACATCTGTTTAATACTAAGTCGTTCAATAAGTATTTATTCAATAAAATGTCCAGAAAAAAACTCAGATCACTTCTAAAGGTATGCAGCCACTCACAGGTACAAATCAAAGCCACTGAAGTAGAGGAAAATAACCAAGAAAAAGAATGTCAAAGGGAAAGGAAGACAAAAATTCTGAGGAAACTAAAACATTCTTGTGAAAAGCTCTGCTCCTGCAACTATTACAGTAATCAGGGTGAACTAGCATAATAAAAAGGATTACTCACTGGTTTCCAAATTCTGATGCTACAAAAAGGAAGCCTGTTTTAAGCACACACATAGCAGCAGCAACAGGCACAGTATCAAAATACTTGAGCCGGATTTCAGTTACCTGGAGTGAAAAGAAAAAAATTCTTGTGTGTAGGCAAGTGAAGGTAGACCATGGAAGGGAGGCCAGTGTTCTAAGACAGTACAATCAGAGTAGCAAATAAAATACTGTAAAAAATACTTTCTTCCCCGCTTCTATCACGGTCTGCTTACCATATCTTCATCTGTCTCCAAAGTAATCTTGAAGATATCGCCCTGCTCAGTTTGGGCCAAAAAGAAGAACATCGATTTGGTCTTATGGGTGGCAGAGCAGACAAAAATCATTCCTCTTTCAGGGTCATCCAGGTCATTCTAGCAAAATCAAACATACAACCAACATCATCTTAGAAATGAGTACTTATACTTAAATTCAGCACCTTACCAACAGGAATTATACAGGCCACCCAAGGCCTAGAGGCACCTAGAGCCTCTCTATACAAGCTTTGACTCAAATGCAGCCTGCTAGCTGTTGCCACAAAACACAATATCTAAAGTTTCCTGTATGCTAATAAATACTCAACAAAGCCTGGATACCAAAATACAGCCACAATACCACTCTAAAGCCTAATGAGGTCGGTAAGGCAAGAACTATCTCCAGAGAAAAACGTCAGAAAAGAGACGTATTCTTTAAAGAATCATCACTTCAGGCTCTGAATAAAACTCTTCTGTGTCCACAACACTACTCTCATAAGACCTTTCTACACCAACTTCCTGGATTACGAAGAGGTTATCACCTTGGCTATGATTTTGGATTTTTTCCAAAATGTTCCCAACATTCTGTATTTCTCTCACTGAATGAGCTCTTCAAGGGCAAAACACGTTTTAAACTTCTTTGCAGCCCCAAAGCTAAGTACAGTGCTCGGCAATTAGATGCTCAGTAAACGTCTCATCAACCAAAATGAATTTCCTCCCACCTCTTACCAAGAAGCATTAAGTTTCTTCTTAGGTTTTCTAAAATTGATGTTTTCTTACTTGGATATCATGTATTAAAGAAAATAAATAACTCCTAAAAGGTTTAACTGCAGAATCTATAAATTAATATTAAAAAGATAACTAACCTGGGGCTGAGAGGAGACTGAGGAAGCAGAGATGAAACAAGGTTACCTACGTGCTGATAACTACTGAAGCTGGGTACACAGACATTCATGATATTCTACTTTTGTATATATACGCTTAATAATTTCCATAGTAAACTGTTAAAATTAAAAGCAATAAAACACTGTTTTCAACCACCAAAGTAGAAACTGGTTAAAGGGAAAACTACTAGGTGAAAAGATGTTGAGAAAAAGGACATTTACAGTTTCAAAGTTCACTACCAGATTCCATGCCAATTACAGAAAGGAAAAGGTGCCTTCACAGAGAGCAGAAATACACCCACTCAACAAAGTGATCGACTTAGCATCACCAATGAGACAAACCAACATTGTGGGCCCCTAACATGATCTAGTAGGAAATATATGTCACCACCTTAATAATTCAATTAAAAATATTACCTGGACATAATCGTGAGGAAAAGATCATGGGAGAGACTATAAGAAAATCAGCCCAAACTCTTAAAAAATGTCAGTATAAGACTAAAACAAACAAAAGAGAGAGAAAATATTCTAAATTAAAAGAGACTAATGGTAGATATAAGGAAACTTTTGGAAACGAAAAATATATAAAGTAATTGTTATTACATAAAATGGTAAATTTCTTAGGCACAATACTGGTAGTGTGGTTATGTACAAAAATGTCCTTCTTAGGAGCCTTATCTTAGGAGAGTCCTATAGTAAAAAATGATATCATCAACTAATTTTCAAATGTTTAACCTAAGAGTTAATATGTGTACACACACACACACACACACACACACACACACACACACACACACACACACACACACACACACACACACACACACACACACACACACACACACACACACACACACACGAGACAGAAATGCAACAAAACAATAATTGGTGAATCTAAGTGAAAGGCATACAGTAATTCATCGTCCTATTCCTTAAATTTTTCTGTATGTTGGAACTGGGGGGAAGGGGAAACAAAAAGAACGAAAGACAATTTATCTCCAACAAATAAATATTCCTGGCCTCTTCAAACTAGAAACGTTCAGAAATTTCAAACTGATAATGTCCACAGGTTCCTCCAAAATGGAAATTGTGTTAGCGTTTAATTCTCTTTCTCAGTTTTGCTTCTACTAAAATATTTTACCGGCTTCAATTAAAATAACATTTACAGAGAAACTGAAACTTGATAACAGATAAACTAAGAGCCTACCACTGTAATTACAAAAATTAAGTTCATTTCACAAACACAAATATATCTTCTGACAAAAACCTTACCCGTCTCCTGGGAATTGGACAGCGGATATCGGGCTGGTCACCAAAGTTCTTGTAAGTGATATAGTTTTCGGAGCAGATCAGCACTCCACTTGGACCATCTGAACCTCCTGGAACTGTCAGAAAAAATAAAACTTAGCAACGATTTGACATAACTATGAATTACAATATAGCTTTCGATTCCTTCTCTCCTTCACTTAATGAAGGCATAATGTGCCTAAAGATGAGAAACATTCCAAGTGTTGCTTTCTCTTGTTATGCTAGAAAAGAATGGAGCAGTTGAGGTGATTCAGCCTGTCCATAATGCTGGTAATGCATCTAAATTTTTAGCTCCAAAGACAGAACTCAGTTCCCAGCTTCAGACCTACAATCCAACCACCTACTGGACACACACATGGATAGTCCACTGGCACCTTCAAAATACAATGTGTTCGCATATTTAAGTTCCTTCCCAAATGTATCTGTTTTGCACCTTAAAGAATACCACTTTCAACAAAAGGACCAAACCAGAAACCTGAAAGTCACTCTTCAATTCTCTCACCTCACAAAGCCCTAATGATTCTAGCTCCTTCGCAGCTTTCATGCTACCAATCTCTTGGTTTAGTGAAACAAGTTCCTGACCAATCTCCTGGCTTATAAATAGCCTCCATTCCATTAGGCAAAATGTAAGCAAATACAGGCATACCTCATTTTATTGCACTTTGCAGATACTGTTTTCATCAATATCAAGGCAAGACTCTCCACCAGCAAAAAGATTACAACTTGCTGAAGGCTCAGATGATGGTAAGCACTTTTAGCAATGAAGTATATTTAATTAAGGTATGTACATTGTTTTTCTTTAGACGTCTGCTATTGCACTTAATATACAATAGCAAAAACATAACTTTTACATGCACTGGGAAACAAATTCGTGACTCGCTTATTGCAATCTTTACTGTGGTAGTCTGGAACTGAACCTGCACTACCTCCAAGGTATGCCTGATTTCTTCAGGATATTATTCCTCTACTTAGACTCCTTCAGTGGCTACCACTCCACCACTAACAGTACCCCAGCCCTTTAGCTCAAATGATTCAATCACAATGAGCTTTCAGTTCTTTGAATCGTGTTCTTTCTTGTTCTTGGGCTTTATGGTATACTGTTCTCTTTATCCACAAGAGAAACTCCTCCTCCACCCACACTGTACTTAGATAACTCCTAACTAGTTCTTAGGTATCAGCTTAAAGAGTACTTCTCCAAAAAGCTTTCTCCAACACGTCCTTCTTTTCCCTGTTAGAGACTCCCTTCTTTACAATGTCATGGAATTAGCACACCTTGACTATTTTTTTTTTGTTATATACATATTCACCACTAGACTCAATTGGGCATAAAGGGAGACACTGTATCTAATTTTTCACAACTGCAGTCCCAGAATTCAGTACTCTTTTCACATATTGACTGTAAAGACTAAATGAACACCTGTTGACAGAATGAAGCTCTCTAAATGAAAGGTATAGTAATAAATTGCAGCAAGTAATGACATGTTATCTATTCTTCAAGGTTCTTCTGCTTTATAGGATCCTAAGATCTGATGCTCAAAAATAAGTGCTGTCTTGTATTATTATTCTCCAAAATCCTCCACCAATGTATTTCATTTTAGAGATTAATCCAAGTGCAAATGACTCAGAAGAAAAAGGACTGAATCACTGTCTTCCCCAAGACTGCTGAAATTTAGATGATCACAAATGTAGCTATCCTTCGTCTTCTAATAAATTAAACTGATACTGATTTTCTAATGGTGAACATCTTTGAGTACCTACAAAAATCTTACTTAGCTATGATGCATTTAAGACATCGCTAAATTTGACTTGCCAAAGTTTTACCTTTTTGTATCTATAATCATAACTACCCTCTAAGTTTTTGTTGCTGTCCTCTTCCAGTTTTGGTACTAAAGTTATGTTAGGTTCATAAAGTAGTACAGTAGTTTTCATTCAATTTCTAGTCTCTGGAGAAATTTATGGTCCCTGAAAATTCTGGACCTTACCCTTTTGAAAAGAGATTTTTGACTACTGTTCCAATTTTTTTAATGGATGCTGGTCTATCTAGGTTCTTAATTTCTTCTTGGATCAATCTGGTAACAGTTTTCTAAAGTATTTTTAATTCATCTAAGTTTTCAAATTCATGGACATGATTTATCTTGTTAGGTTTATTCACTTCTTGTGTCTTTTCAAAGACCTAGGTTTTGATTTTAACAAGAGTGAAAGATTGACTATAGTCAAAGTATCACAGGGACCAACAGCAATCAATATTCCAAGCTGACTGTTCTCCATCCTTTCTTCTCTGCCCCCACTAGAGAATAAGAGCTTACCACTGCATGAACTTCGAACCTTATCAAAACAGACAAGGCACTGAAGTTTACAATAATTTAACTAGCTTCTAAAATCTGTTAAATAAACCCTCCCGAATTTGGGCATAAAAGGGATCAGGCAAAATAGTACAGAGCAACTCTGAAAAAGAAGTACCTGTAATAAGGAAGTTGCCATGTTCCTCCAAAGGTTCACTGTATTTTCGGACAACATGATTTAAACCAAGGTCTAACTCATAGAAAGTAAGCGTCTGCTGGGTATTAGCTGCTGCTTCCCCTGTTGGATCATTGTCTGCTTCCTATAGAGGAGTACAGTGACACAAAGACTAATCAGTACCATAAAATCAAATTTCAGAGCTGTAAAGACATCAGGATTCTATTTTACAAACAAGGTCCATCTATTTTACAGGCAAAGGTCCACTGATGCCAAATGGTTTGCCAAAGTTCACACTGCTAAATAACGGTAAAGCTGGAACAAGAACTCAGATCTCCTAATTCTGGTTCTCTCTACTAGAGGATTCTGCCTTCCACTCAAGGGAACGAATGGTGTGCTCCACCTTTTACTAACTCCCTGCAAAAAAAATATCCCAAATAGTTTCACTCCCCTTTTCAGGCAGCTTTCCCCAATAAATATCCTGTTTCCACAGGGAGATTGTTCAAATCAGAGCGAAGTGCTATCACATTGTCAGGTAAGCTCTGAAACATTTTAAAGAATTTCAGTAAAGCATTTGGAATATAGAAAAGATTTGTTAGCAGAAAAGATATAATATTTGAACAATGAAGAAAATTATCTTAGGAAAGCATTGAGGTGACTGGAAAAATAAAAAAACAAAGGAGAGAAAAGCACATACACAGACATGATCCCCATTACCTCATAATCCATTTCCAGACAAGCAAACATTGGATTTTCAAATCCCACATCTACTCCGACCACGTGATACACTAAAGTGTTTGCTTTGTGGGCCTCCAGGGGAGATGAGATGGTAAGCCGGGCTGCAGCATCTCTGTTCAAGATATACACCAATTTCTGTTTCTCAATGGCACCTATTGTTGAAGGAGACAAAAACACACAAGATTTCCAGGTAGTGAATAGAAGGGCTTAAAAAAACAGCTAGATTCTTATCACAATTATTTTTTAAAAATCAGAGAGCCAGAACTGTATACGTATATTAGGATTTGTTCTCTATCGTTAAAACAGACAACAGCATCATTTAGCCACCTCCTTCCTAATAGGGATCATAATATCCCACTAACTCTTCAAAATATCTTAGGGTGCCCTAGATTTAATGAAATTGGGAAATGAAACAATAATTCATTAAATCGCCAGCTTTCTTTCAATTAGATTTAGTCATTTTGTGACTAGTCAGAGAGGGCTGCCCTCTAGAGGCCTGATCAGATACACAGAATTTTCTTCAAGAGGTTTGTCAGAGAAGAGACATGAATGTGGATCATCACTTCAGGCTGATAAAAGCAACCGTACTCATGTCTAGTAATGTAAAATCATTTCGTTGTAGTCTTTTTTGCTACAGAAAAAGTAAAAAATAGAAAAACATCTATTTCTAACTAGGCAGGAGGTAGAAAAAGTATGTTAAGACTTTTCCCATTAATTTAGAAGGAAAAGCAACTCTACGCCAAGGAATTAATCCACATATGATGCGAACTTTAAGTTGTTTTACTGGCACATTGCCGAGATCACAGCATTGTCATCCTAAACCGAGCATCCGTAACAGTCAGAGATGCACTCAATAGAGCAAGTTACTCACTAATCATAACAGCTCGCCCTTTGGGATCCACAGCTAAGAACTGGCCAGGAACAATGCGGCGGCATCCACTCTTGCCAAAAGTTTCTTGGTGAATTTTCTCAAACATATTCTTAGATGGCTGGTATTCCAGAATAACAATCCGACCTGAGTCACTGCCTACCACAATGTAGTCTTTGGTGCCACCTGTCAGCCTAAAGGCCATAAGCGATCGAATTACACCAAATACTTCCACCGTAAGTAGGGTGTGTACTTTGCCAGTGTTGGGATCAGGGCGAAGCAGCTCCAAGATCTTCCCACGGGAAACAACAATTTCCTGTTGTTTGGTTCCTAGAACGCCAAAAAATGAAGACCATGAAAAACTGGAATTCTTCCAAAAAGTAACCTGCCTGAATCATAATGCCATTAAAGACAGATATAACTGAGTGAGTTGGGGGCTCAGTATTTTAAGTTAACTTATTCTACTGGAAAAGGTACTTTCCCAACAATTGAAATGATCTAACAAAAGCAGTATCAAATAAAAGCTTTTAAAAATGGTTACACAAGTTACTTTTTTAAAAACTTCATTTTCCTAACATTTGACATCTGTCTGCATAATTGAGCATTGTCCATTAATGGTATAAATACATGTTTAGCTTCATAAGATCAAAAATCTCCGAAGGCTTTTTCTAACCCATCTTCTGGGCTAAGACAGCATATTAACATTTTGTGCAGTTTGATCTGTGTCTCAAAGAACTTTTAAAGCTTTTAAAGCTGCCATCTAAAATATGCTATTTATTTCTAAACACACTCCTAAAGTTTATTTGCTTTCATAACTGCAATCAACACCTCCTAATGCATCACAGTCAACTTGTCCTCATCTACATAATTCCACCTGAATGAGTTGTCTCAACTTTAAACTCAACCGTTTAAAATAACTAAGTTCCTCCTTTCCCAAACTCTCACGCTAGTCTCAATTAACCTGCTCTTAATATATTTTCTCTGCCATTCAGGCTGGAAACTCATGTCCTTCACTTTCTTTCTATCCCCACTGTCAGGTCTTCACTATCTTAATGGCTTCCCATCCTATCTCATAGCCCACTCTTACCCATTCCAATCCAGTCCCATTTGCTCAGTGCTACCTCTTATCAGGCCACCTTACTTGCCAAAAGTCCTTGGTATCAGCTAAGATCAAGTATGCCAAAGTGCTTTGGAAACCATAAAGCATTATATAAATTAATGATTAAATTTCTTTCCTGTACAAGTACAGAAAAAAATATGAAGCATTAAAACGAGTAATATTTAATATGTTACATTCAGAAGGATAATAACTGGAAAACTTACCAGAGAAGTTGCCATGAATGGCAAAGCTGATGCCAGTGGCTCGTTGCAATGTCAGGTTGTACAGAAACATGGTGGCAGCAATACTGAGTCACCCGACACTCCACAATCCAGTCACTGGTTACACCACGTCAAAGTAAGCTAAGAGAGCATAAAAGCAAAGTAACATCAACTGGGAAACTGTTAACACTTCTGTATAGGAACTTCTGGCTCATAGCAGGAGAACCAGTAGAATAAGGCCCATGAAAGAATGACATATTTATAATCAGAGTTCCTTTAAATGCCAGGCACTTTGCTATATACTGTCTCTCATCTCATAAGCAATCTATCAAGTACTTAATATTAAAACTCATTAAGAAAACCATTTTATAGATGAGAAAATTATGGTTAAAAAATTAAATCACCTGAGGTCACATAACAAGTGGTAAAAACGTTGGGAACTACATCTGTACCATTAACGCAACACTATTTGCTTTTTCTGCCACAGAAACTAAGGTCTACCTTTACTTGTATTTGAATAGGCTACACGTTCACAAGGTTCAGAATTCAAAAGCTCAGTAAAAAGCTCCCTCCACCCATTCCCTAGCCATCCATTTCTCCCTAGGGGAATAGATTTCACCAAGTTATATCCATCCTGCCCTTCCAGATATTTTCTGTATGGGTAAGAAAGAATGTACACTAATACTGTATTTTATCCCCACTTTTTAACTTAAGGTTGGGTACCATATATTGTACACTCACATTATACTTTTATTTTTTCATTATTTTCTCTATCTTGGAGATAGCAAAACACAAAAGGCTTTCTTATTTTTATTTTACAGTGGCAGAGTATTCCACTGAATGGGTATATTAGATCTCATTTAGCCAATACCCTACTGATGAACATTTGTTCCCAATTTCTTGCTATTATGAACACTGATGCAAAGAAAATCATTCACTTATAAGTAATTTATACATTTAGAAGTATCTACTATTAAATATGAAGCTGCTAAATTGAAGATTCAAACATCTAAAATTTTGAGAGCTATTACCTTTCAAAGAAGTCACCAATTTACATCCCCAGCAATATTTGAGTCCTTATTTCCCCAGAGCCAGACCCATGCTAATCCGATAAACACTGGTAACTTAGTGTAGTGTTCACTGCATCTCTCATACAGCTCTGTATTCAAGTGATTAGAATTTAAAATTTAAACCAACACCATCAAAAACTAAAAGAAAACTGAATTCCAGCCACTTCAGGCCTCCCTAAAAGAGTACAGTCTTGGAAAAGCGTTCCTATCATCGGACAGGACTGCAAACTTATGTATAACCTCTACCACAAAAGAATCACCCAAAACTACACCTACACATATACTGCTGGAAAATAAACTGACTTGTTTTACCTCAATTATTCAGAGACAAAAGCAAGAGAATTTGAGAAATCCAAGTAACCATTGTGCAATTAACATAAATTTGGTTTCGTTAAGTGAAAAAAGGTAAATATCTTTATAATCATTTCTGGGTTGGGCAAAAGCAGGGTGACCTAGAACAGAAAAAAATCAATCCTGTAGGCAGGAAATGTATATAAATTTTTCTACTTGAAACTAAGGAACACCTTTAATGCCCTAGGATCCCAGAGAAAGGTCTAAGGAGAGATAAAAAGTAAGGGAAATGACCTACAAATAGAAATACAGAGTAAACACATGACCAGAGTCAAGGATGCACACCCAGAAGAACTTTCTCCCTTGGGAAAGTTCCAGGGAAAATTGCGCTCAGCTTAAGTTGGAAAAAAACAGGCAGAAAATATATTGTAATCGCTCTCAATTGAAAAATAGCAAATGTAATTCTTGTATTTAAGTGTCTGTACTCTCTGGCATTGTGTTCTAGCCATAAAATTTCAAACAATTTCAAAGGTGCAGGTGTAACAAAATTTATAGTAAAGCCAGTATCATGCTGTCAATGTGATCCATGTCATTGTATTAACTGCATTAAAAATAAGGAATTGTTTAAAAAAAAAAAAAGTAGAGGAAAAGACAGGTTACTTCTGAAGCCCCGAAAATCTCCCTCCAGGCTACTTTTCATTCTTTATAGCTGAAGAACTCAGACTACTTTCCAGTTCCTTTGTAACTGATGCCATCCATTCAGATCCCTGGGGCTCAACTTCCCCAAACCTGGTTAAATACAGGTTTCCCAGCTATTACCACCTTGGGAAATGGGGAAAGGTGCATTTTGGAAGATCAGCGGCGAAAACCTGGTAAATTCTGTGATTTCCTCCACTTCGCTCTCTTGTCTATTACTAAAAAAAGAGCCTGCGAATGCTCATTCCATCCCTTCTCATGTGCCAAATGAACATAATCGCATTTTAAAATCCCAAATCTTCTAGATATTATTTCCCCTCACTTTGCAAATGATGAAACTGAGGATCAGAAGAAATGTTACCTAAATACCAAACAAATTCAAAGCAGGCTCCAAAACTATTTCCGTTATTTACGCTTATAATATGCTGGGCTTTTTCACCTTCCTGTCCGTGTCCTTTACTCTCTCCAAGAAAAGACGTCCCTCCCGCCTTCTTACATCTCGCATAGGTCGAGGCCCCAGGGCCTAAAAGCTAGGCAATCTCTAAAAAGGTTTATTTTGAACCAGACCTCTTTTATCGCTGTAGACAGAAACAGGGAACAATTCCTAGTAGCCGCATTCACACGCTCCTCTCGACCTCCTCCTGGTCCCCTGCCCGGACATAGGCTGCCTCAGGGACCCCGACCAGAAACTCAGCCCAACCTCCTATATGGCCGTTCTAGTCCTCTGTAGGTCCGGGGAAGTCGGGAGGCCGCTTCTTTACCCTGTAGCAATGAGGATGGCGTAGTATCCAACGGATGCAGAATTTCTTCAAGGACTAAGGCATCGCCAACGCCAAACCGCCGGCGTTCGCCATTAGCTCTCAAGTCAGGGACCTTCCGGTTGGCGCGCGGCGGAAAAAGGTCCCCAACCGGCGCCTAAAGAATGTGTTTATAATTTTTATAATGCATTGGTCTTGCATCCACGCCCCATTGAAAATTATTTAAACACATCTTATGACAATCACTTTTTTCAGAAGAATAGAACATGAATAGGCTTTTTAAAGTAGACTTTTAAAAAATGAGTTCATCAGGCACTTCTGTGGGCAGCCCCAAAGGTCAGCGCGCCAACGAAGAGGGGGCCTCGAGAGGCCGGAAACACGGAATGGGAACCAAGATGGCGGACCTCGAGTCCTCCCAGAAGCTGTTAGGGATGCCTCCGCCGCCTGAAGGGGTGGGAGGAGGCCGCTGCTCCGAAATCTCCACCGAGTTTATTCGCTCCCTGACGGAGCTGCAGGAGTTGGAGGCTGTGTACGAACGGCTCTGCAGCGAGGAGGTGGGAGGGCTGAGCCTCTTTATCCAGAGACAGTTGGCGTAGGAGCCGTCAGTCGGGAAATCCGGGCTGTGGGAAGCTCTCTTTTTGCGGAGGGGAACAACAAAGCACCTACTCGAGAAGCTGGAGTGTATCTGAGTGTAGTTCTTGGGACCTGCCATCTCTCTGCACTCAGTTTGTTTGTTGCTCCCAAGCTTTTTTCCCCTGTTATCTGGGTGACTAGCCCCATCTCCCATTGATTTCCTCGGCTCTTAATCACTACGGGTCTCAGGGATAGTAAAGTTACATTGAGAGTATATGCCAACTCGCTTGCTTCTCAAAATAAGAATGAGGGCTCTTTGCATTGATTTAGCAGCTTAAAAATTATGAAACGCTTTCGCCCTGTCGTTGCAAATAAATAAGCGTTCTAAGACTCCCCTTTGTAGGAAATTATTTGGGGGTGTCATTTCAGTGTTTCGGTGAAGTGTAGAACTTTGTAGAAGCCTAAGGTGTTAAGACTCAGGAACAACTGTCTAATCTTGGACAGGTCACTTAATCTCTTATACCCCTAACGTTGTGTCAGATGAGGGGCGTGGACTATATTCTCTCCAGGATTCCTTTCAGCTCATAATGTTTTATCTCCTTTCTGCCTCCTTCACTTTTCCGTGGCAACCTATTATCAATACATTTTTGAATGTCAGTTGGGTTCCTTGCCAGTCAGAAGATCTAAGCTCCGATTTGAAGTTTAGTAGCTGTTTCCTAAAACTAAGCATTTAAATAAGGTTATTTAAATAAGGTTGAGCACAAAAGGCAATTTCAGCCAGAGGATGGATCATTGATATCTTTGAATATTTCCAAATATTAATTTGCACCACCTCTAGCAGTTTCTGATATGTTTTCAACAAGATATGCTTTATAAAATTCCGTATTCTTGACTTAACATTCCTAAGCTTGCATTCATTGAGTTTGGGGGGGAAAATTAAGTTGCTCTTACAGGCAGAACAATATTAGTTCTGTATTTGTGTTTGATGATTGTCAAGGTGAAATTTCCCTATGTATCCTACTGGACTATTTTAAGAGAAATCTATAGCTATTTTTTGTTTAAATTTATTTAAATTAGTTTCAAGTAACTATAGCTAATTTTAATGGTTGTTTTTGAACCACAAGCCACATACTACTATGTTAAGCACTTTATGTTTGTTATCTTGTTTGGCTCACCCAGCAGTCCTATAGGTTATATATTACTAGCCATATTTTAAAGGTGGAACTCAAGTATAAGGAGGTTGCATTAATTGAGGCAATGTAGTAAATGGCTTGGCTGAGAGAATTATACACTATGAAAAGACTTTGTAACTCACTTTGGAAGTTCCCATTTGTTTAGCCATTATATTTTAAATGTGTTTCTGTGTTAGGCACTGTGCTATTAATATTGAATAAAGGTTTATTTCTTCCATTCGTGGTGTTCATCCGCTAAATAAAGTAAGATTTACATAAAGTAACAGTCATTATGCAATGTGATAAGAGAAAAAATTAAGTATTGTTTGTTAATGTCCTGAAGGAGCTGAGTGGAAGGAAAGAAGACATTTGAAATGGGATTCACCTTTCATTTAAGTGGCTGAATTAGATAACTCATACGGTTCCTTCTGACCATTTTGATGACATTTCCCTGTGTTTCAGAAAGTGGTAGAAAGAGAGCTGGATGCTCTTTTGGAACAGCAAAACACCATTGAAAGTAAAATGGTCACTCTCCACCGAATGGGGTGAGTCTCTGCATCTCAGCAAGGGCTATTGTAATTTCCAACAGGGTCCACTGGATAAGTAGTTATTTTTACTAACTTTCTCTTATAAAATGCCAGCTAAGTTTGAAACAATGCAGAGGAGTATTACCTCAAGGTAAGTGAATACCTAAGGGTATGTTATGTGGTTTTCAAAGTGTCCTGAACATCACTTGGAAACTTGTTGGAAATGCAAATTTTAGCCCTACCCCCCTAACCCTACTAAATCAGAAACTCTGGAGATGGGATTCAAGAATCTGTTTTTAGCAAGCATACCAAATGGTTCTGGTGCATAGCTCAAGTTTGAGAACAACTGTTCTTATAGATTTTGTGTATATGCTCATCATAAAAAGTGCTCTTTAATCATTTCAGATTGTTGGTAAGTGCATTTTATGCTCACTTAGCAATTGGGAAAATTTGTTCTCTAATTTTTTGGCAGTACCTACTGGGATGTCTTTAGTAGTTATGGAAAATTTTTTATTAAGTATAGGCCTGAGTTTACAGTAAAAAACTCTCGAAAAAAAATCTTTTAATAGAGTGAATTAAGCTAAGAATTGTGGAGAGGTACAAAAGAAGCAAAAGACATAGTCTCCTGCAAAAAAAAATTTTCCATCTGTTACTCCTACACTCTGCCCCTATGGATTTATTTGTGCTGACAATCTGTCTGTATCTCCAGCCCCAACCTGCAGCTGATTGAAGGAGATGCAAAGCAGCTAGCTGGAATGATCACCTTTACCTGCAACCTAGCTGAGAATGTGTCCAGCAAAGTCCGTCAGCTTGACCTGGCCAAGGTAATCCCATTATGGTGTTGATGTTTGAGTCAATACCCGTTCTTCCATTAAAATGATGTGGTCATTTGCATGATACCTGTCAGTAGTCTTGATCATCAGTAACAGTTTTGCAAGTGATAGTGGTGGTGGTATTTTTGAGTTCACCAATAAGCGCTGAAAAGGACCTATGATTAACCAGATTCAGTCCCTGAATCTCCGTACCTTCTGAAGAGATGTTTATGAAAGAATAGGACATAGTTTCTGAGCACCAGGTCTTTTTGCAGAACCGCCTTTATCAAGCCATTCAGAGAGCTGATGACATCTTGGACCTAAAGTTCTGCATGGACGGAGTTCAGACTGCTTTGAGGAATGAAGATTATGAGCAGGCTGCGGCCCACATTCATCGCTACTTGTGCCTGGACAAGTCAGTCATCGAGCTCAGCCGACAGGGCAAAGAAGGTCGGCAATCTCAAACTGTTGATTTCTAGTTTAGTTACAAACATCTGTAATCTGAACTAGGACCACTCAACTAGGAAAAGGGCATCTGTTGTTAGGGAATGTCCTTGTCTGGCAATAGACCCTATGTAGGTCCTAAACCATCCCAGGGCAGTGTTGTTATTCCCATTTTATAGAAAAGGAAACTGAATCTAGATTTACTCTCCTTTGGCCAATGGGTTTCTTTCCACTTGACCATATTGCCTACTTAAAAAATTAAATTCTTAGCCTGGCCCATGATCTTGAGTCATCATTTTTAGGCTTCTTTCTTTCTAGCTTTATTTCAAGCTATTCACTCATGCATCAGTTGTGTAAATATTTATTGAGCTTCTCTATATGCCAAGGTATATATAGTTGACCCTTAAACAACATGGGGGTTAGGGGCGCTGACTTCCTGCACAGCATATAACTATGGTATTACTTAAAATATTCTGCAAATACTCTATCGTTCGGTTTATATTTCTTTGCTCATTTCATTTTCTTCGCCTGGAATGTATGTTCTTCGTATTCAAGTATAAAATCTTGCTCATTTTAAGAGATGGTACATCATCTTCTCTAGAAAGTCTTTTCTGATTATTTCAATCAGAAATGTGACTTGTGGGCACCTTTATTATGATACTTAGCATACACTGAATTTTGTTATAGTTATCTGTGCACAGAGCTTATCTCTTTCACTGATTATAACTTCTGTGATAATAGGATCATGGCTGATTCACCTTTTAATTACCCATATTACTAGTACAGTATCTTGCAAACAGTAAATGCAGAATACATACTTTTTTAATGAAAAGTGGTGTACAGACTAAGTGGCATAAACCTGATGTTAATTTCCACTTTCTTCCCTTTGCACAGGGAGCATGATTGATGCCAACCTGAAATTGC